TGACCAGTGCTTGGCTTTGAAGAAACTCTTGGCTCCCGGCTTCGGATAGGCATAGCTGTGGTTGTTGTGCCCATTTGGGAAATGAACCAACGGACAGAAGATCTCTCTCTCTCTCTCTCTCTCTCTCTCTCTATTCCTCTGTCTCTCTGTAGCTATGCTTTTCAAATAAATAAAATAAATCTTTTATTAAATTTATTTGAAATAATTACACACAGAGAGAGAGAGAGAGAGAGAGAGAGAGAGAGGTCTTCCATCCGCTGGTTCACTCCCCAGTTGGCCACAATGGCCAGAGCTGTGCCAATCCGAAGCCAGGAGCCAGGAGCTTCTTCCATGTCTCCCACGCAGGTGCAAGGGCCCAAGGGCTTGAACCATTTCTACTGCTTTCCCAGGCCACAGCAGAGAGCTGGATCGGAAGTGGAGCAGCCAGGACTCAAGCTGGCTCCCATATGGGATACCAGTGCTTCAGGCCAGGGCTTCAACCTGCTGACAGTGCCGACCCTCAAAATTACTTTTAATAAAAGTTGTGACACTCAAATAGGTGCACAATAGGGACTGGGGAAAAAAATTCACCATTTTTCTCTTCCCAGCAAAAAGCAGCGTGCACAGCTGCTCTCCCTAGTGGATTCGTACAACTTTACCTTTAAAAAAGCAAGGGATGGGGGACCAGCTTTGTGGCAAGCCTGTAAAGCCACCAGCTGTGACATCAGCATTCCTGGCGGGCTGCGATTTGAGTTCCAGCTGCTCCATTTAAAGTCCAGCTCCTCACAAGAGCTCTCCACTCCCAAGGCTGCACTTACAGACTGGGTTCTCGTGTCCGTTTGCATACAGTTTAATGAGAGCTTGGGCTCCGACAGGGCTTCACGCCAGGGTCTTGGAAGGTGATCTTCTGGGGTCAGAAAGATCAGCTTTGCACACTGTGTTGCCCAAAGAGGATGGCACCAGCAGGTACCAGGGTAGATCAAAAGGTTCCAGGAGGCTGGCGCCATGGCTCACTTGGCTAATCCTCTGCCTGCGGCACCAGCACCCTGAGTTCTAGTCCCAGTTGGGGTGCCAGATTCTGTCCCGGTTGCTCCTCTTCCAGTCTAGCTCTCTGCTCTGGCCCGGGAAGGCAGTGGAGGATGGCCCAAGTGCTTGTGCCCTGCACCCGCATGGGAGACCAGGAGGAAGCACCTGGTTTTTGGCTTTGGATGGGCGCAGTGCCGGCCGTAGCGGCCATTTGGGGGGTGAACCAACGGAAGGAAGATCTTTCTCTTTGTCTCTCTCTCTCACTGTCTAACTCTACCTGTCCAAAAAAAAAAAAAAGGTTCAAGATGTTCCAGGAAAAATAGAATCAAAAAGCCTAGATTTAGGCTTGCGGCTGCCCCTGCACGCCCCGCTCTGTATGAGTGATCGGCATAGTGGGGTCAAGGTGAGGGACGGCCCCAGCCGCACAGTTGCACATCCTTCACTGCACTTCCCGGGCCACAGCAGAGAGCTGGACTGGAAGAGGGGCAACCGGGACAGAATTCAGCGCCCCGACTGGGACTAGAACCCCGGGGTGCTGGTGCTGCAGGCGGAGGATTAGCCTATTGAGCCGCGGCACCGGCCAGTAACTCTTTCAAATAAATAAATCTTAATAAATCCTGGCTGCTCCACTTCCAATCCAGTTCCCACCTAATACACCTGGGAAAGCAACTGAAGATGCCCCAAGTTCCTGGGCTGTTGCACCCACATGGAAGACCTGGGTGAAGCTCCTGACTCCTGGCACAGCCCTGGCCATTGCAGCCATATGGGGAATGAACTACCAGATGGAAGACCTCTCTCCTCTCTGTGTAACTCTACCTTTCTTTTTTTTAAGATTTATTTATGTATTTATTTATTTGAAACTCAGAGTTACACAGAGAGAAGGAGAGCCAGAGAGAGAGAGAGAGAGAGAGAGAGAGAGAGAGTCTTCCACCCACTGGTTCACTCCCCAATTGGCTGCAACTGCCGGAGCTGAGTTGATCCGAAGCCAGGAGCCAGGAGCTTCTTCTGGGTCTCCCACATGGATGCAGGGGCCCAAGGACATGGGTCATCTTCTGCTGCTTTCCCAGATCATAGCAGAGAGCTGGATTGGAAGTGGAGCAGCCGGGACTAGAACTGGTGCCCATATAGGATGCTGGCACTGCAGGCAGCAGCTTTATCCGCTACTACAACTCTAGCCCTGTAACTTTACCTTTCAAATAAGTAAATATTTTTTTCTAACTTAAAAATAATTTTGATAAGAAAAAACTTTTTTCATTGATTCTTGGTGAACACCTAAGAGGACTGCTAGAGCATATAAGAAACGTAAAATTAATTTTGCAAGACCAGGGCAGCGTAATGGATAAAGTCACCCCCTGTGGCGTTGGCATCCCATATGAGCACCGGTTCTAGTCCCAGCTGCTCCACGTCTGATCCCGCATATGTTGACTCAAGTCCCTGAGTCCCTGCCACCCCTGTGAAAGAACCAGATTGCATTAAGGGATTCTGATGTTGGCCTAACCCAGCCCTAGCAGTTGCAGGTATTTGGAGAGTAAAACAATGGTTGGAAACACACACACACACACATGCACATATATAATCTCCTGGGGTCGGCGCTGTAGTGGGCTGAGCTTCCGCCTGCAGTGCCAGCATCCCATATGGATGCTGGTTCGAGACCTGGCTGCTCCACTTCTGGTCCGGCTCTCTGCTGTGACCTGGGAGAGCAGTAGAAGAAAGCCCAAGTCCTTGGGCCCCTGTGCCTCTGTGTCTCTACCGCTCTCTCTCTCTCTCTCTCCACCTCTCCTCTCTGTGTGTAGTTATGATTTTCAAAATGATAAATAAATCTTTAAAAAATATAATCTCCTGTCTTTTTAATAAAAATGAAAATAAGCAAAATTCTTAAAAATAATGACAAATATGGCACCAGCATTGTGATGCAGCAGGTTAAGCCACTGCCTGCTCTGCTGGCATCCCAGTTCTGATCCAGCTCCCTGCTAATAATGTGGGAAAGCACATATCTGGTAAGAAAGAGCCTGCTGATAGTTTTTGTTCTTCTACATTCTCTGGGTTGACTTCAAGCATTTATTCTTTTGGCTAAACATTAGATCACTCTTCCCTGGAACACTGATTCATATAGATGGATGTGGAATAGCCAACCTGTCTACAATGTCCATTCCACCCACACAAGAGCAGGAGTTGGTTCTTCATCTGTTCAAGGTTCATTCTGTATTTCTCAATAGAAATGTAGACCTTTCAGTGTGACCTACTCATTTAATCCAGCCAACAGGAAGCCCGGGCTTGGTAGCTGTAAGATGAACATCGAATAATCAAACAAGAGGATGCATATTGAGCCAGCACATCAGACAAGAGCCAGGACTCAAGCCTTGACTGTCTCAGCTCCAATGCCCACATCCAGCTTTCTATATTCGACCTTACTGTGGGACCCTGGCCCAGACAGGCAGAGAGAGATGACCGGAAAAGTCACTTTTGTTGTAAACCATTCTCACTTGAACCAGCAGTGATCTGGTTTGCTGGAGCGAAGTCAAACTAGTCTCTGCCCTGTGGACTCCCAGGTGGGCTCCTGGCAAATGCAGTAGCCCATTCGTGCTGTGGGAAGTAGACCCAGAGGGGTCATCACACACCCAGGTGGGAGATCCTACAGGTAAGACTTGAGAGCCTGAGCCCTTTCCACGACAGGGCAATTTCCTCCGGGAATGCTGCCATCCATCCCCTCCTCTGTCCTCCCAGGCCATGGCTGTGTGGGGTCTTGGTCTCTACTGGCAAATTCAAGGGTCAGGGGTCAGTGTTGTGGTGTAGCAGGAAAAGCTGCCACTTGCGGCACCAGATTCCAATATGGGTGCTGGTACATGTCCCAGCAGTTGCACTTTTGATTAAGGTCCCTGCTAATGGCCTGAGAAAAGCAGTAGAATACAGCCCAAGTGCTGAGGCCCCTGACACCCATGTGGGAGACCCAGAGGAGGCTCCTGGCTCCTGGATTTAGCCTGATCCAGCCCATGCCATAGTGGCCATCTGGAGAGTAACTAGTGGACAGAAGACCTAACTTGGTCTCTCCCATTCTTTCTATAACTCTTTCATAAATAAATCTTTTTAAAAAAATCCAGAGGGGTCAGTGCTGTGGTGCAGCAGGTTAAAGCCCTGGCCTGAAGCGCCAGCATCCCCTATGGGCGCCGATTCTAGTCCTGGCTGCTCCTCTTCCAATCCAGCTCTCTGCTATGGCTAGAGGACGGGCCAAGTCCTTGGGCCCCTGCACCCATGTTGGAGACCCGGAAAATGCTCCTGGCTCCTGGCTTCGGATCGGCACAGCTCCGGCCATTGCAGCCTCTGGGAGTGAACCAGTGGATGGAAGACCTCTCTCTCTGTCTTTACCTCTCTCTGTAACTCTGTCTTTCAAGTGAATAAGTAAATCCTTAAAAAAAAAAATCCAGAGACAGAAGATGTGAATACCACCGGAGACAAGAGGATTGGTGATGAGCCAGGCCTGGTCAACTCCTGGGGTGATGCCTAACGGGCTAGAGGCTCAGTAACTGTGACAAAGGCAGTGCCCAGACCGCTGTCCGTGGTGCTGACACCATTGTTCTCCATCCATGTGGGTGCAGCCTGTGCTCCAGGTACCTTTCACCCTCACCCAACCTTATTTACAAGTGAGGAAACAGCCTCGGGGAGACAGGGCACCTGGTCAGGAGAAAACAGCCGGTCTGTGGCAGGGTCTGGATCTCTCTCCCTGGATCTCTCTCTGTCTTGTCTGAGTGCAGACCCCAGAGTCTGAATAGCCAATTGGGTCTCTGCTCCCTCCCCCACTGCCTTGTCTCAAGCTTTCCCACCAATCCCCACAGGCTCCCCACAAAGCACACAGACCCAGGCACCCATAACTGAGCTGCACATGTTTTATTAGAATCAGCTGAATGAAGACTAAAGCAGGTGGGGCAGGTGCTGGGTTCCAGCTCCAGGTGAGAAGAGGGCAGGACGATGGCACTCAGATCAGGTGTCAGTGGCAATATTCACCTTCCCAGAGCATTGGCGGGTGCTACGGGAATGGGAAGGGCCTTTATAACTTCCTCCTTGGCTGTCTGCAGTAAGTGGAGTTTGCATTCTTTGCTGCCAGTGATGGATGACTGGAAGAGTCAGAGAGTGGGAACAGAGGTGGCTAGAGGCAGGTCCTGGACCCGGGCAGGGCTACCCAGGACCCCTGGGTCACCCTGGCTCCAACCCACATGTCCACTCCTGGAGATGGGGCTGCATTGGTTAGGGCCAAGAAGAGGATGGCTCCCACATCCCGTGTTAGGACCCGGTCTGAGCATTCTCCCCAGCCAGAGAGGGAAGGAGCTGAGAAGGTTCTGCAGGGCATTGCGTGGCCTGGGCTTGGGGAGGGGCAAGGTGGCTGAGTCTGGGGTGGTGTGAAATCTCTCAGCCCTGAGACCCATCTGCCAGCCATGTTGGCTGCATGGGAGTGCATCATGTGTTGTAAACAGTCCCCCTGGGTCCTCTCTAATGCACATAATAGTGAATTCTGCATTTGGATCAACCTTACTTTTGAAGAATCAGATGCCCAAAGGCAAAGGTTAAAAATCTCCTGCAGTGGAATTCCTCACGCTTTCTGTGTGGCACTGGTATTATTCTTCAATGACCAATTGCATGTGAGTGGTTTAGTGTTTTAGAAACATATGTAGCAAAAGAATGGGCTGCACAGCCTGTGACACACATGGCAAGTGGCTGAAGGTTGTATGTGCTGAAAGAGGGAATAAGACCTGCATGTTTGTGTATCACATCTGTCATGTAGCCCCTGATTGGTCTGTTGGTGCATGGTGGTTTAAGTGTGCTGCTGTGGGGGCAGGGGGACGTGGAGAAGAAGTTACCATGACCCTCAGATCCAAGGCCTTGGCTGCAAGCCCTCCCTCATTGTAGCAGTCCTGGACTTTTCCAAGGGCTTCTTTTTCCGATTCATTAGCATGGACCAAATCCAAAGCTGCGTTCAACAGGTTCCTGTCTCCAATGGGCAGCGTCCCAAAGATCTTATAAAATATTGGGCAACCTACAGCTGAAAACACAACCAGAAAACACCTCATTAGAGGAGCTACCAGGCTAGGAGCCCTGGAGGTCACATTTCCCACCTCTTGAAGGTAGCTCCTGTGTCTGGCATCTCTTGCCTGACCTTCCACAGAGACCCGCTCGCCACCCCTGCACCTCCCAGGACTGCAGCTACTGCAGACAGAGAGCACAAGCCCTATGGGAAGAAGTGAGCAGCAGGCTGGAGCCACAAACAAGACCCCCGGCCCTGACCACTGCCCAAGCAGAAGAGCCTGCACACCTGTGCCCTTGATGAAGCACCATCCAGGCGAGCCTTAGGCCCAGCAGCCAAGACGCCAACAGAAACCCCCAGGCCCCACAGGGCAGTGCCCGGGCGCAGGCCTGACACAGACGCTGGGGGACCACAGTTTTGGCTCCAATAGCTGGGCTCCTGGAGACCTGCATTGAGTTCCAACTCCAGGTTAGACTCTGGCTTGGCCCCTGGGCATCCCAGGCACTAGGGGAGTGAACCAGTAGATGGGAACACACTCTCTCTTTCTCTCTCGAGTTTTGTAAAGGAAGCCCCATGTCCCCTATGTGTACAACTAATGACCCCTCCATGCCCAAGCCTCTCCCTCCATCTGAAGACCCACTGCCCCTGGTGTTTTCCGTGGCGTTCCTGGGTAGTGACCTCCCAGCTGCCCCTAAGTCTCTCCCAGAGGCTGCCCAGAGCTCAGCACATCAAGGTGGAATGACTGGTGAGTGACAGCCCAGTAAGCCCACCAATTCCCTCCTTACCACTCTCTCCCAGCTGCAAGCCCAGCTCTCCGCTCACCAGCAAGGCCAGCACAAGCAGAGTCCCCTTCATGGTGCAGGCTGCTGCATGCTCCGCTTGTGGCCAGCTTGCCACTGCTTTATAAACTTCTGGCTCCCCACCCACCTGTGGGCAAGGACCCAGCCCTGTGGTTTCCCAGGTCCGGGGTGAAAAGTATGGGAAGCCTTTCCCACTGCGAGGAGCGAGCTAGTGGGGATGTTTGCCTGACGCTGTTGGCTTTGGAGGAGAAGTGACCTTTCTGAGTGGCTCCATCCTGAGCCAAGTGCTCTGTTGTCCCAGCCCCAGGGTCACCTCGGCTTTCCACATCCTCCTCCCGCCTCTTCTGCCTCCCAATGCACTAATCCCCTTAAATGCACAGAGAAAAATCACAGGAAGCATCAAGGTCATGTCTACACTGCCAAAGGGAGCGAACACGCTGTCCAGAACACTGACGCGTGCCTGCGTTTCAGCCCGGGGCTGAGGGTGGGAGCATCGTAGCTGGGTCAGGCATGGGGGCCCAGGACTGGTGGCCGGGCGGCTTCCTAGGTCTGGCGGTACCCCTTTGCTCTCACTAGCTGGATCCTTCCTCCAGCCTCCTTCTCACCCTGTGGGAGCTCATGACGTCCTGGGCCTTTCTTGCTTCCCATTACTCCAGCCTGGCCCCTTCTCCTGGCTCCCTCTTCTTCCTCAGTGAACAGGGCCCCCTGGGCGGTTTGAAGTGCCCCGTGCCTCCATCAGCACCCACAGGCAGTGGCGGGAGAGAGGCATCTCCCCAGACTGAGTTGTCCGGCCCCTGAGAGCTGCAACTCTACAGGCCCACGCGCCCGGTCAGCCAGGGGCAGTGCTGCTCTGCCTAGACCCTCCAGAGAGCTCCCCCAGCCTCCGATGTAGGAGCACAGTGTGTTGGCACCAACAAGACGAGGGTGTCCATGGAAACGCAAGCAGAAGCGAGCCTGAGACAGCTGCCTGTGCTCTTATCTGGAACCCGGTGAGCAGCAAGACGAGTAACTTAATATCGGGTTATAGCCATGAATAAAACCCCACATGTGAGTGCATCCTGATATAAACAGATGACTGCATAAGCAGACGGATGGAGAAGAGACAAATACTCCTGAGAGACCCCAAGTAGTCAATGGCTGACTCCACTCCAGCAGGGGGAGCTACTGCCCCTCCCTGGCAGACGTGAACAGTGCTCTGGTGATAACCCGTGGTCAGCCACAGCTGTCATGCACACCTGGATGCCTGGTGACAAGAAGCGACCTGATTTCTTTGGTTTTCTTCCCAAACTCTCCAACCCCAGTCCAAGCTACAAGAAGTCCCCTGACAAGCTCTGTGTAGGGGACATTGGGTCATCCCTGGCCAGGCCTCCCCTAGAGTGGCAAGGTCAGAAAACCCAGGACAGGCTGAGAAAGCTCCCAGCCCCGAAGACAGGTGGACAAAGGGCAGCTGGCGCTCAGCTCTGGGTGCTTCTTTGCCAAAAGCAGTTGCCGGATGTGAATCCTGTTTGGCACAGGGTTCTCCCTGGGAAAGCAGTAGAAGATGGCCCAGGTCCTTGGGTCCCTGTGCCCACATGGGAGACCAGGGGGAAGCACATGGCTCCTGGCTTCGGTTCGGCACAGCTCCAGTGTTGCAGCCATTTGGGGAGTGAGCCAATAGACTTTCTCTCTGTCTCTCCCTCTCTCTGCATGTGTCTCTCAAATAAATAAATAAAATCTTGTTTTTTGTTTTTTGTTTTTTGTTTTTACAGGCAGAGTGGACAGTGAGAGAGAGAGACAGAGAGAAAGGTCTTCCTTTGCCATTGGTTCACCCTCCAATGGCTGCCGCGGCCAGCGCACCGCGCTGATCTGAAGGCAGGAGCCAGGTGCTTCTCCTGGTCTCCCATGGGGTGCAGGGCCCAAGCACTTGGGCCATCTTCCACTGCACTCCCGGGCCACAGCAGAGGGCTGGCCCGGAAGAGGGGCAACCGGGATAAAATCTGGCATTCCGACCAGAACTAGAACCTGGGGTGCTGGCGCCGCAGGCAGAGGATTAGCCTATTGAGCCGCAGCGCTGGCCTAAATAAAATCTTAAAAAAAAATAAAGTTAAATTACATAGATGTTCAGATATACTTCATTAAAATAACAATGCTTCATTCTGACATGAAAACATCTAAAATATTCACTTTTTAAATTATCCTTATACACAAGGGGCCTTCAAAAGGTTCCCGGGAGATGCTATTATCAAAACTGATATGTGATTTTCAAAACTTTTGCACTAAAATAAACTTATCCTTTTTAAAAAAATTATGTATGTATTCTTTTAGAAGACAAAATGACAGAGAAAGAAGGAGAGACCCAGAGAGAGATGATTCCTCAAAGGCCACAAGAGCTAGGGCTCTGCCAGGCTGCAGCCAGGAGCCTGGAACTCGATCCAGGTCTCCCTTTGAGAGCAAGGGTCCAAGCGCTTGGGCCATGTCCTGCTGCTCTCCCAGATGCATTAGCAGAAGCAGCCGGGATGTGAACTGGAGCTCCCATATGGGATGCCAGCAAGTCAAATGGCAGCGTAACCTGCTGTACCACAATGCCCGCCCCTCAAATCTCTTTAAATTCCAGTTTCCATGAACTTTTTGCAGTCCTCTCCTCCAAATGTGAAATGGGCCACACCCTCAGCTCCTCTGACAAACCTCCCAGGGCCCCTGACCCCTCCCACCCCTCCAGGAGGGAAGAAAAACCACAGAGAATGGCAGATGGCGGCGGGGGTGGGGTGGGGCGGGGAGCGCAGTACATAAGGGGCGGTGAGGAGCCAACCCTAGGTAAGGGGGCAGGAGTGTGGGCGGGGCCTTAGCCTTCCTGTAGCTCCTGCAGAAAGTCTGAGACTGCAGGCAGCTAGGCTCTAGAAGCGGAAGGAGGGGCCGGCACTGTGGCATAGCAGGTAAAGCCGCCATCTGCAGTGCCGGCATCCCATATGGACGCTGGTTCTAGTCCCAACTGCTCCACTTCTGATCCAGCTCTCTGCTGTAGCCTGGGAAAGCAGTGGAAGATGGCCAATGGCCATGGGCCCCTGCACCTGTGTGGAGACCTGGAAGAAGCTCCTAGCTCCTGGCTTTAGATCAGCACAGCTCTGGCCGTTGCAGCAATTTGGGAAGTGCACCGGCAATGGAAGACCTCTCTTGCTCTCTCTCTCTCACTCTGCCACTACCTCTCTGTAAATCTGGCCTGGGTATGGCGAGCCAGGAGTGAGGAAGGGATGGGGAGGCAGGATGCCCACGGCCCCGCCCAATCCCAGCACCTTCCACGCCAATGCAACACAACAGGACTCTCGGCACCCACACTGCTCACCCCACAGCTGAGCCTCACTTTCCATCCTGGTCCAGAAGCCAGGACACCTTCCTGGAGACCACCAGGCCCCCTGCAGCCCCACCCCCAGCCCCTGCTCCTTCCCATCTTCCCTAAGATGAGGGTGATCCCAGCCTGGGCAAGGGCAGCTGTCTCCTGAGGGCGTTCCACTCACGTCTCCCACTGTGCACCACCGATGCCTTTCCACAATGCTGCACTTCTCTCTGTGTCCCGGTTCTGTTCTCCCCACGGGAAGACAAGGACCTGGGCGTCTCTCCCAGCCCAGCCAAGGCCCTCGAACCCCAAAGAGCAGAATGTGGTCAAATGCCAAGTAGGTGTTTAGAGACAACTGGTCTACCCCGTGTCCCCTAGCCTTCAGGGTGTGAGTGCAAGAGAGAAGCAGAGGACCTGCACTCCGGCCTGCCCGCCACACTGGCACTGGGTGTCCTGCAGTTCCCATAGTCACAGCAGCTGGTAGTCAGGGTCCCAGCTAAGGTGCGAGAGGCTGAGCTGGCCCAGGGCTCCAGAGGCCCTGTGTGGCACTTTCTCCCCTTGCCTAGCCAGGGTTTCCACTGGTTCTGCACCTTCCCTGCACCCAGGCATGGGCCCATGGTCAGGTCCCCGGAAAGAGAGAGGGAGAAGGAGCCAAGCCCTGTGTTAATCCAGGGCTGGACTTGGCCACTATCAACACACACACACGTGCGCCCTCTGCAACTGCAGGTCATGCAAGCTGTGGCCTGGGAGGGCATGGAGGGAACCCCCCCCCGGGAAGACAGGCCCCTCCTGCCCCACTGGGGGCACGGAGCAGGTATAAAGGGCCCCGCGGTGGGAGCGGCTGTCCCTGCACCATGAAGCCTGCTGCTTGCCTGGTGCTGCTCGGCGCTGCCTGGCTCCTGATCTCTGTTGCCAGTGGGTGCCAGCCACGGGCGCCTGGGCTGGGGGTGCTCTGGGGGCGGGGGCCAGCTTTCCAGGACAGTGCTGCCCCAGGGCGGGTGAAGGGACGCACCTGCCGTGACCCATGCCTTCCGTTTCTCTCCAGATTGTGACATCTGCCCGGCTGTGCAGGAAGATGTTTACGTGTTCCTGAACGGATCCCCTGAAGAGTATGTTTCCTATGTGCAAAATTACCAAAGTGACCCGCTAGTGCTGCAAAACGCCCTGGCGCTGAAGCAGTGCGTTGATGGGAAACTGACAGCGGAGGATAAGGGGCACGCAATCAGTGCCGTGGTGAGTCCAGCCGGGAACCCTGACTGCAGGTGGAGCGTGGGCGGGGACGGGCCCTGCTAGGCTGCAAGAGTGCCAGAGACAGAAGGGGCCAGCAGACTGGGGTCTGTGCATTCCTGTAGGCCTCCGGTGCCCCTGTCACCTTGCCAGGCCTTCCGTGTAGCCCCTGCCTGTCCCAGCCTCACCTGTACCCCCCACAGAGAACCTCCTCCTCATTCCTCATCAAAGGAGAGATTTTTACGAGAGATTCTCAGGCACTCGTGGTGCAGGAGAGGATCTGCCTTTAGCTGCCCAGATCCAGTGCCAGGCTGCAGCTCCTCCCCAGGAAGCGCCCTGTGCCTGTGCCCTGCAGGTGTCTCTAGGCCCCGGCCTCACCAGGTGTCCCGACTTCTCTTTGCAGAATAAAATCTTCTCAGATCCTCTTTGTTAAGGGAGCCCTCCTGGCCAGAAGACCCAGGGCCGCCCCGCGCCTACGTGGTCACCAGGTACAGCCCACCTGCTGCCTGCCGGCCTCTCATTGGAGGAGGCAACAATAAAAGCTCGCATTGCACAGAGTCTGCTCAGTGCTGGACCGGACACCGGGCGTGGGTGTGGGAGGCGGGCGGTGCAGCGGGGCCGACTGCCGTGACTGCCAGTGGTGGCTGGATCCAGGGCTGTCCGTGTTGTTCCTGCAGGGGTGCAGTGTGGGGCGGGTGGGTGAGGGTGCAATCAACATCGCCATGGCTGCGATCCACCAGGCACATGCGTCACCGACCAGGCGTAGCCGGCCAGCCAGCTTCAGAGCGGCAGGGAGAGTCCCAGCGTCACCGTGAGCACACTGCGGCTCAGAGCCGGGGCGCGTGCCCAACACTGCACAGCAGCTGCCACTCTGCTGCCCCACCCTCTGCAGGGAGACCTGCTCGGCTGCTCAGTGTGAGGCCGTGCATGGTGGCAGTGGTGCCCACCTATAGATGGATATGAGACCTCCCACCTCCAGGCCCAAGGGACATATGGGGTGGGAAGGGGTCCCTGACCGGACAGGAAGACCTAAAGGTCAGGGGGCATGAACGCCCCTGGCCATGATCCAGAAATCCTCTCTCGTGCCTCAGCTGGTCCCAGTGCCAACCCCCAACTGTGGACGCAGCTGTGACCCCACAAACACACCCCACGTGGGGTCTCCCGCACAGTGGGCCCAGGGTCTGGGTGTCTGCGGTGGCTCAGCCCTGTGGTCATGATGCTGCCGCCTGACTCAGGCCCCCCGCACGCCTGTCTGTGCCCTCTGGGCCTGGATCTGCCACCCGCCCCCTGCTCTGTCACAACTCACTGAGGGCACTCGCACAGGGCTGTCTCAGGAGGAGCATCTGTGACATCCTGGTGACCAAGGAGCTGCTGGGAGGCCCAGACAGGGTGGAGCAGCTGCTCCTGTCCCCAGGGGCTTGCTGTGGGGGAGCAGGGTGGGTTGATCCTTTTCCTGTTTCTCCCACACTTGTACCTGGGCTGCCTTCACAGAGAGAATGGGTCAGGGTGGGCGATCTAGGCAGCGGTGAAATCTCGGATTGGGGCACCCACATCCCCAGTCAGAGGGCCTGGTTCTACTCCCAGCTCCTTGGCTGCCATTCCAGCTCCCCGCTAATGCACACTCGGGGGTTCAGGTGGCACCTGCAGGTGGTGGTCCAAGCACTGGGGTTCCATCACCCACGAGGGAGGGAGACCCAGATGCATTTCCTGCCTTTGGCCTGGCCCAGCCCTGATTCTGGGAGCCCAGCACTCACCCCTTCCCAGGGCCCCACCCCATCTCACCTAGCAACCTCCTACTCTGCCTGCCTCTTAAAGGTCCCACACCCCTCTTGGTGCCACAAACTCTGTCTAAAGCACTTACCCCAGGGGAGACCTGCTCTTTGTGCTCACTAAGCTCCCTCCACAGAGCAGCAATGGGGGCCCCTGCCTCTGCAGGAGTGAAAGGGAGCCCAGAAGACGAGAGGGCTTGGGGAGCAGAGACCCCCTCGTTACCCCACCTGTGGGACCCTGGGGCTGTGTCCCACCACACCCTGTCCGACAGATGCAAATCTATGCTCAGTGAGGACACAGGCGACACCAGGTGTCTCGGTCCGCTCTCTGCTACTGTGACAGAATCCCACAGACTGGGGCGATGTCCAAGCCACACGAGCCTGATTGGCTCACGGCTCTGGACGGCCTTCGTCTTGCATGCAACATAGGTGGCCAACATCCCATGGGGGTGCAGGGAGAGGCGGGTAGAGTCAAAGATGTAGAGAGAAAGAGGGAGAGAAGCAGAGGAACTTGCTTTTATCTTGAACTTTAATTTTTATTGTTTAAAGATTTATTTATTTTAAGGGCTCAGCCACTGGCCACTGCTAGGCCTCTGGTGAGGGGAACAGTGGATGGAAGCAACCCCCCCCCAGATTCACGAATCAAACATTTGTAACAACACCTTGATAGTAAGGAAACATTTGTAGCAACAACAACGGAACTCACCCCTGTGCACCCTAAGCCACCCCAGGAGGCCAGCGTCAGTCCATGCAGGAGCTGGGTTGGGGCCCATGCACCCATGCTCCCTGCACACGGACTCTGGGGAACAAACCTCCCCCACAGTGAAGGAAAGTGCAATGTGGAGAACACTAAGCCTAGGCATCTGGAGTTTGAACTCAGGCAGAGAAAGGAAAATGCATGGGTGTCTTCCACCCAATTAGGAACATTAGACTGCTGAAGCTGAGTGGTCCCCATTCAGCACTCACTGTGTTATTTTACAGCACTTTGTGAATCTCCAAAAGAGTTTACAATGCAATTTAAAGCGGAGAAGCTGAGTTGGGGGGGGGGCAGCTGTGCACTCATTCACACTCCACAGAGGAGGCCAGCAGGTGTGTGGGTGACCAGGGCCCTGCACCCTGTGGTCTCCATGCCAGGGCAGGGGAAGTGGGCAGAGAGGCAGAGCAGTGGGCCCTTGAGGAGAAAAAAACAACTGTGGCCCCCAGGTGGCAGCCTAGGGGCAGTGTGGGGCCCAGGACCAAGGAGGTGCTGGGGGAGGGTTGAGCCACTTTCCCAGGGGGAGCAACCTTGCGATCAGCACCCCAGGGAGCCGCGGGCCTGTGGCTACTCCTGCCTGCGGCCTGACGCGTGCTGTCCCTGTCCTTATGGTCAGCAGCAGCCCGGTGTTACCAGCATGCGGCTCAGGTGCTGGTGCCCAGGAGTTCTCAGTGCTCTGTGCCTGAAGCCCTGGCCCGTGTCCAGGACAGGGCCCTGGTTCCCGCTCTGGACAGGCTGGGCCACGCTGGCTTGAGGTGCTCAGCGGGAGGCTCCCCTGCCTCCATCCCAGAGGACCCCTGTGTCCACCTCCTACAACTCCAGGGAAGAAGGGCTGGAACAGAGCAGGAGGGGCAGCAGAGGTTGGCAGCGCTGGGGTGGGGCCTGTGGTAGGACAGGAGGCTGCACCCCCGGGAGTCTCAGTTCAGGTCATGGCAGGGGCAGCCCCGGAGTGTGGGGACAGGTCTAAGTGGGGCTCCCTATGTGACCTTGTGTTCAAAGAAAGAGGCCTTCACAGTTGGGCTGTAACACAATTGAAGAGGCAGAAAGGAGGGGCAGGAGGTGCCGGTTGCCTGGGACTTGGGACCATTACGGCAGGTGGCAGAGGGCCCTGGCACCCCTGGTTCCGGGGCGGTTCTGCCAGAGCCCTGCCCTCTCACCTGGGCCCTGGGGAGAACACAGGCCCCACTTCTGGTGACCTTTAATGAAGCCAGGCCTGAGGACCCTGAGCCCTGCCACAGCAGAGCCACTAGGGATTGGCTGGCAGGCTTCTGTGATGTCACAGTCACTGAGATGCGCACTCTGGGCTGGGAGGCGACCAGAGGCCAGTAGTGCGTCTACTGCCCAACTGACCAGTTGGTAGTGTAGGCAGCAGGCGCATTTCAGAGAATCACATGGATACTCAACGGAGGTGAGTGGCACTTGCTCTCTGCATGAGCTGTGGTGTGGGGAAGGTCCCGCCCAGTGCCCAGGTGGGTTTCCATGGTCTCCCACACTGGGTTCCATGAGTGATGTGGTGGAGCTCTGAGTGCTGCCCCTGTGTGCAGAACATGTATACAGTCATCTCATTCCTCCCGCTCTGCTGGTCACCAGTGTCGAATGGGCTGGGTGTGAGTCTCAGTCTGGACACAGGTTCAAGACTAGGTGTTGGGTCAGCTGGTATCAGGTGGGGCAGGGAGGCCGGCTCTGAGAGCCCCAGAGATGCGGGAGATGGGAGCAGGCCAGGGAGCCCCGTAGACTTGGGACTTGGGCTCCCTGGAGGACACATGGATGCCAGGCTGGGGGAGGAGCGTCCTTTCCGAGGGCAGGGGAGGCAAGGTGGGGCTGTCCTTCCCCAACCGTCCCTAGTCCCTGAGCTCTGCACAAGTTATCCTCCAGGGACCCAGCCACCAGGTGCCCGCCTGCCTGGCTGTGTGGCTGTCCCTGCTCTGACCAGGGGGACAGCATTCAGGGCAGCATTCCTGTGGGCTCCGCAATGCTGGCTCCCATGTGCATGTGTGTCTTACAGATTGGATGTGAACGCCCTGAGGTCCCGGAGGGCCCAGGAGCGAGCAGCGCTCTTCAGACAATATGAGCAGGTACGGGCCAGGGTGCTGGGGGAGGAGGTGGGGCCCTGCCTCAAGGACTGTGCCTGTGAGAGCCAGACCCCGCCGCCATGGGGACACGGGGGAGGGGACGGGAGGACAGCTCCCCCAGTGACTTCTCATCCGGGTCCCCTCTCGGCTGTAGGGACGCAGAGGAGCGGCACTGCTGGAGCCTGAAGAGGACGATGAGGGCGGCTGCCTCGTCCCAGACAGGCTTGGGTTCCTGCAGTGAGTCCTCCGCACCCCAGCTCACCCCAGGGCGGGACTGGGGTCAGAAACCCCAACATGAGGCGGCACACTGTCCCCGGCCCTGACCTTGAGCCCAGCTGTGGTCACAGGCAGGCACTGGTCAGCATTTGGCCAGAGCTGAGTGACCCTGGGACTCAGGACTGCAGGCAGGGACAGAGCTGGACGTGGGGCAAGCACTGGGCACTCTTACTCTGAGGTCTCTGTTTCTGTTAAGTAGAGGGGGTGGCTTACGGGTCCCCATGCTCCCAGGCATACACAGCCTGGCCATCGCCACTCCAGAGCTGTGTCCACAGGGTTGGGGCACCAGCCTAGCATGTGGGCAGTTGTCCAGCAGGTGCCTGGGTTCAGGGGCCAGGCTCAAGGCTTACGAAGACCTAGTCTGAAGGATGGCCAGGGATGTGGTCTCTGTGGCTCTGAACCTGCTTGTGGGCTCCCGCAGTACAGACTGTGGGGAGGGTGCAGCTGAGGGCCCTGCCCCCGGGTCTGTGCTGGCAGGAGTGGGGCCTGGGGGCAGGAGTCGGACATGGAGGCTGTTCCCACAGATGTCAGGGAGAGAGGCCCCGTGGCTGGAGGGTGGGCTCCGGTGACCTGGAGGGATGGAGCCATCTCGGGCCATCTCTGGCATGACTCAGCAGCCCACCTTAGCACAGGGATAAGGGCTTCTGCCTCCATGTTGTGCCAGAACCTGGAGAATAAGTAGGAGCAGAGTGGTGGAAAGATGGCCAGGGTCCGGGCTGACAGAGGAGGGGTGAGGTGGGGTGCATGTGTACCTCAGGAGGTCAGGGCACAGGGGGGAGGGTGGGTGGTGGGGGACCCTGAGGGGTGTGGGGGTCCCAGGTGCCTCGAGCCCCAGGTGCACACTCACAGCACTGAGCATCTCTCAGGCAGGCCACCTGGACTCGGTCAGTTCCAGGGTGACGTCCTGGGCAGAGCTGATGTGGGATATAGCTGCCTCAGCCCTGGGCAGCCTGGCCCTGCTCAGGACAGCCAGCCACCAACCGCTGTGGGGGGCTGCCACACACCCACGAAGGTGGACCTCTGACAGGCCTGGAGCCCGCCACTGGCAGCAAGAGCCCCTGCTGGCCCTAGGCTCCCTGTGCTCATGGTCACCAGCCCCTCCCTTCCCGTCTCAGTCCCCTGGGCTGAGAGGATGAAGCTGGTCCTTCCCTGGCCCACTAGGGAGGTCGCGGTGCCTGTTGTGGTCCTGTCCTCACCTCTCTGCCTCCCTTGCTTTCCAGTGAGCAGAAGTTGCCCCAAGACAGCACCCCGGGGGCAAAGGTAAGGACAAGTCCTTGGCCATGGGCCAGTCATCTGGAAGCAGAGCTGGGCGGAGGGGGAACATGGGGCTCGGCAGTGGTGAGTGGGAGCGCCATAAAGTCCCGCGATGCAGTACTTACACGGCACCTGCTGACATCTTACCACACTCACCTGTCCCAGAAGTGAGCCGCAGCTCAGGGGCGTCTGCTGTTGGCCGCCCTGACTCATTGGCATGGTTGGGAGTGACCTGGCTGGAGCTCAGGGGCTCTTCCTTGAAGACGGGGCAGCTCGGGTCAGAGGCCAGGCCACCGATGCTCCCCCAGACAGAAGATCTGGGGCTCACGGTCTGTGCCTTTTCTGGCTCCTTCCATTTGAGCGCCCACAGAGCTCCTGAGCTGCATCTGAGGGCCCCTCTCAGAGCCCCAAGCTGGGCTCACGCCATCCTGTCTCGTTTTCCAGCGTAAACAGGAGGTAAGAAGGATCCAGAAGTGGATAAAGATGATCAAGAACCATAGTAAATACCGGGGCAGCGACAAGGTACTGTGGCGATGAGGGCCCCTCGGGAACACTGAGAGCTGAATTGGGGTTTGAGCAGTGCCCATTCCTGTGCCAGGCACCGCCTGCCTCTCAGATGCCCAGGGGCAACTGTCCAGTCCCTAGAGACACAGGTCATGGGCACACCTTCCCCATACACACAGGACACTGTCCTGGTAGAAAACCTGAAGTCACTGCTGAAGACAATCCCGGATGCAGGGCAGGCGTGGTTCCAGGAGCCCTGTAGGGGGCAGTCCGTACACGGCAGAGCCGGTGCCCCTGAGCCCTTGGCCCTCCAGTCACTGTGGGTCATAAGGCCCCCCTCTGGGCAGATCCTCCCTCTGCCAATACACAGGGAGCCCCTGGCTTCTCCCTCTGCTGTCTCACCCTGCGCTGCCTCCACGAGTGGCCACGTTCAGCACTCACCAGAGCCTCCTCTCTCCTGTAGTTTCAGCGCAGAATCTACAAAGGCATCCCTGCCCAGGTGCGTGGGAAGGTGTGGGCCGTGATGCTGGAGGTGGACAAGAGGAAGGCCCAGAACCCGGGCAAATACGCGGTACGGCTCTGCACTCAGCCCAAGGGGGCCCGGCCTGCTCGGGCCTGCTCAGGAGCCTGAGTCTCCGTGGAGGACCGTCCCTCACTGAGCCCTCGGGAGCCTCCTCCCCATCCTGCCTTCCTCTCCCTAGATCCTAGTCAGTGCCTCCTCCACGTCTCCTCAGACCCAGCTGGGACTGGACAGGTGTGTTTTGTGCCAGAGGCTTTAACCTGCTCTCTGCTGAGCTCACCTGGGCAGCTTGGCATACGGCCAGAAGAGAGGACTTGCTGGTCCCTGATGGGCGGGGGTCTCCCAGGATGAGATCACAATGGTGTGAGGTAGGGAGCCCCACAGGCTCTGTGCTAACATGGCCTGCCCACAGCTGGCCGGCCCTCACCTAGGCCTGCCCACAGCTGGCCCTGCCTTCACATGGACTTGCAGCCCCTGGCATTGCCCTTGCCTGGAGAGGCCGGTCCAATGGTCAGACAGCTCTCAATGCTTCCGGGAAAGGAGGGAGCGAGGACTGGTGTGAGCAGAGGGCTGTCAGCTGCAGCTGGCTCTCATGGCCCCTGGCTGCCATCAGGGAGCAGGGCCCAGCTGTGTGGCTCACCCTGCCTCCCCCAAGTCTGCAGTCTGGGGCTGGCCCTGGGAGCTGGGCCTGGAGACAGTCATTGCCCAGGCTCAGCTCCAAGCCAAGGGTGGCTTGCAATGTCGAGATGGAGATGGGCCCCTCCAGCAGGGGGCAGCATGGAGCAGTGGTCAGGCTGTGGCACTCCTGGAGGGCAGGGCATGAGATGCCAGTGAGGAGGCTCGGAAGCCTGGCTGGGGGCAGACCGCGTCTGTGCTGAGAGCTGAGGCAGGCAGGGGGAGTGCACAGGCACCTTTCAGAGCCCCTGTCTGCTGCTGACTGTCGGGGTGACGTGGGCACTGAGGCAAGTGGGGAGCCCATGACCCTCCCTCAAGGTGGGACCCAGCAGGGAACTCTCCCTGTCAGCCAGAAGAGCTGACGTGGACTTGAGGTCCTTGCGTCGCAATGGGGCTTGTGCAGTTCTTGAGGCTGCCCTTCCCCCTTGTCCCTGCCCTGCAGGAGATGAAAGAGCTGGCCAGGCTGGGCGCCACTCACTTCCATCACATCGACTCCGCCATCGCATGGACTTTCAGAAACCACCTCATGTTCCGGGAACGTTACGGAATGAAGTGAGGCCTCTGGGCTGGGGAGGACCCGGGGGTGGGAGGAGCAAGGGTCCTGGGGCACATGGGGTCCCTAGGGAAGATTGGGTGCAAGCCTAAAACAGTTCATTGAGCACAGAAAACAAACTTGCCTTTTCTATAGTACACAAACTTTCCCAAGACACTGTGGAGAGAATGAAATGAAAAGAAACACCAGGGGAGACAATAGTAGCAATCTATCTAATAAAGATATTGTTTCCAGAATATTCAAGGAGTCCTTCAACTCAGTCACAAGGAAGCAGTGGGCAGCCCCCCAGTACCCCGGGAACACAGGCTCGGGGGACCCTTCATGAAAGCACACACAATTCACCTCTTCAGCGCATGAACACACGCTTATTCCCTACACCACAAAGGGGCACCAGCGCACAGCTGTGGGAATGGGGGGAATAAAACCACTGAGGACGCCGGGTGCTGGGGAGAACATGAGGCGAGGAACAGAGCACAGAAGCCCAGGCCCACGGCAGCACCCAGGGCCGTGTCACAATGAGAAACACACACCTCCCACACGAACCCCCAGCACACACGCACATTTACACAACCACTAGAACAGCCGAGTGCACAGAAAACACACACGCACGCTTCAGGGTTGTGTTCACAGTCACTGGATGCAGGGGAAGCCTGCACTGATGCTCAGTGGGGAGACGGAGAAGCAACCCGTGCCACAGCTGAATCCTAGAACGGGATTCAGTGAGAGGCAGGACGAGGCTCGGGCCTGGGCTGACCTGGAGGCCTCTCAGGTGATTCTGCTAAGAGAGGAGCATCCCTCAGAGCCTACACGTGCTGTGATCCACTCAGGACGTCTGCAAGAGGCCGACCCCTGGGACACACAACAGGGCAGGGGTGGCCACAGCTGGGGAGGAGGGGAGTTGGGCCACAGGGGGCTCCTGGGGAACACACAGGCGACAGGAGCTGCTCCCTACCAGGCTGAACGTGCATGGGAGGCTGACTCTATACAGCTTGGACCCACGGGACTGCACTCCCACAGTGGGACGCTCACCTGTGCCCTGAACACCCACCAGGGGAAATGAAAGTCCCAGAACTGCGCCCTGGGAGGTGTGCATGTCCCTGCAGGCAGCGCTCACCCACACGGTGGACAACACGCAGGTGCCCTGATGACGTCACTGTGCATGAGCAGAGTGTCACGGGCCCTGCGTGTGGCTGTCAGGCTCTGTTAGGCAGAGCTGCACTGAGAGCCACGGCAGCACAAGACACACAGCCTCTGTCCTCTCTCTTCCAGCCAACAGGCCTTATTCCACATACTGATGGCCTATTCCGTCTACAATCCCGTGAGTATTCTGGGGTCATAGCGCAGGTGCTATCCCGGCAGTCCCTGCAGGGCACCCCTGGTCACAGAGATCCCAGCCTGGGTTGAGGGGCCTCGCTCATCCACAGCTCCGAGGAAGAGCGGTAGAGGCCTGGCTCTGAGCCTCCTTGGACCCAACCTCAAGTTCTGGGAGGAGAAAGGCAGCCTTCTCCTGGGCTGGTCTCCAGACCCCAGGAGCTTGGCCGTGTTGGGATGCCCCTCCCAGGGCTAGCATTCCACACAGTGGGGCGGGGGGTGAAGGCAGGGCAGATCAGGTGTATGACTGCTCTGGGTCCCACTGATGCCATTACACCCACCAGACCCGTGGTTGGACCCATGGGCCTGAATCCCACTCTGTACAGCGCCACTGCCACAACCACCCACTCAGACTTTCCCATGAGTGGAGCAGGCGCAGGGCTCCATGGGTGACCCAGCAAGGCCTGGACATCCCCACCCCCCTGACCTGCCACTGGCCAACCTTGCCTGGTGCCCTGGTTCCCAGGGTGCCTGGCACTCAGGAAGCCCAGGCCTGCACCCATGCCAGAGGCACACCACCTGTTCCGGTCCTGGTAGCACTTCCTGGCTTATTTCTTCCTCGTGTGAGAAAGGGCCACCAGCTCACCTGCAGAGCTCAGGGGTCCAGAAGCTTCCATGGGCGTGGATCTGGATTCCCACAGCAACCTGGCCCATGCTGACATCTTGGGGGTAACAGGTGTCCATACTTGAGCTCTCCCCCTGTGCTGCCTAAGCTCAGGCCCTGCAGGATTCCCTCCAGGAACTTGGAGAACTTCTCTGGGCTCCCATTATTGGGCAGCTGACACCAAGTGGCAGGATTCAGGCACAGGGGCTCCCTGTGCTTGAATCTTCCTAGACCCTTCAGTGGGTGACCCTGATCTCCCTGAGAGGTGGCCATCCTAGGATATCATTCTTGCCAGGGGAGGTCTCCTAAAGGTATTCTGGGATCTTGCAGGAGGTGGGCTACAGCCAGGGTCTGAGCCATGTGGTGGCGCTGTTGCTCATGTATATGCCCGAGGAGGACTCTTTCTGGGCCCTGGTGCAGCTCATGGAAAGCAGGAAGCACGCGATGCACGGTAGGTGGATGGCGTGTGGGGCCCAGTGCATGCAAGTCCATGCACGGCCCTCACTGGCTCCTGAATGTGCAGGACAGTGTTGCTGGGGGGGGGCTCCCTAGAAGCCAGGGCTGGCAGAGGCCTCCCAGACTGAGCCAGCCCCCTTCTTTTACCACCACCCAAAGGCCCTGCAGCTTGGCCATGGCCATCCTGGGTGTGGGAACCTTCAGAACAAGGGGTCCTGTCCTTGTCCAGTGACTCAGGTCGGTTCTGGATCTTCTGCCTCACACATGTCTACGCAGACTCTCAAGCACAGAGCCACACCCAGGGAACTTGTGGAAGGCAGCATCCCCTGTAGGGTCACCCCTCCTCGCTCCTGAGTCTTGGAATGGTCAGGAGTCACCCAGTCTGACAGCACACACCACAGGAGGCTCCAGGGGCAGCCTGGCCTGGGCTGCACACAGTCACCCACCTGCACCCACCTCCCAAGCAGATCCTCTGCCCTGGCCACGTTCATCCCCACCTGCCCCTGGTCCAGCCTCCCCTGACCCTCAGTGCTCAGAAGCACCCCCCCCAGGCCTGGGGCTCTCCAGCCTTCCTAGGAGGAGGCTCTCACGTGGGGGTGTCTCTGATTCTACTCAGGTTTCTACAAACCAAACACCCCCAAACTGGAGCGATTCCAGCAACACCTGGGGCTCATTGTGCATCGCGTGCTCCCCTCCCTGGAGAAACACCTGGTAAGTTAAGCATCTCCTTTCTCCTCTTGGGGGCTCTGGGCTCATGGGACTGCTTCCTGAGCCAGGGGAGGCCACGCCCTCACCAAAACTTTCCTTGGTTACTGGGGTCCGCGGCAGCTTGGGTGTTGGTTTGTTGTCCAGCACTTGGTCCCCCAGAGTTGGCGTAGATTGAAGGGAGATGCTGTCCCCAGAGCAGAGTGGAAGGAGGGACCTGTGTCCCTTCAGGAACCTGCATGGCTAGAAGGAGGGATGCCCCTGCTGCTGGGCTTCCTGCACCCAGGGGCTCTGCCCCAGGGCTCAGATTAGAGGGAGTCAGGCCTGGGCCCTGGGCCCTGGGCCCTGAGCCCCCTCTGCCTCTGCCTCTTCTTAGGAGAAGGAGGGTGTGTGCCTGGAGGACTCCACCGCCCACTGGTACATCCAGTGCTTCCTGGATGGGGTAAGTGCCCCGGGGACCCCTTGCCCAGGGAAGCTCCTGCCCCAGTGCCTGGTTCTCTGGTGCTGGTGGCCTGTGACTCTGAGCTCCCCCAGCCCCAGCAGACACAGGAGGGAGCCTGCTGTGCAGACCAGGCAGGCCCTGTCCAGCCCTGCTAAGGGTGGTCCAAGCTGAGGCTGAGCCTCAGAGCCAGCAAGGAGGGGACAGGTTCCACCAGGACCCATCCTGAGAGCCTGGCAAAGGCCAGAGCCCTACAGTGAGAGGCAGGAGATCCATAGACCCCCCGTGGCAGAGGCTGGTGGCAGCACAGCCCAAGGGCTGACCCCTCCCCCAGGTCCCTGGGGTGTCTGGCATCTCCAGTGTGGCTTCCAAAGTGTGCAGACCCCCAGGGTCCAGGACAGGACATGGTCATCCTCTGTGGGTCTGGTTCGCTGAGTGGGCAGGGATGTGGCCATGAGGCATGGCCTCCCCTCCCCTCCCAGGAGGAGCTCTGGCCTTCTTGTGTGATCAGCCTCCTGGAGTCTCCCTCTGTCCTAGGGGAGTGACACTGCACACCCACCCCTGTGGGCCCTGCTGAGGCCCTGACGGGCGGGTCCTCCAATGCCTCTGTCCCCAGGTGCCGTTCCCCCTGGCTCTGAGAATATGGGATATATACATCCTGGAGGGTGAGCACGTGCTCCCCTCCATGGCATACACGGCCCTCAAGATCCATAACAGTGAGTCCTCAGGGCCCACAGAGGCCTGGGTGCTGGGGATGGAGGAGCTGGGGGTCCCCCTGCCTGTCTCTCGTGAGCAGGGCTTGAGGGAGGGATGAGGGGGTTTGGGAGGCCTGGGTTCCCTTCAGGAGGGCACTGAGAATCCCCCTGTTGCATCCCCAATCCCAGGCCCCCACAGACCACAAGGAGAAGTGGCCAGGGTCATCACACTGGAAATTAACCCCTGAGCAGTCCCTCCAGTGCTTGGCTTGACACCCAAGGGTGTCCAAGGGTGTCTGCAGCCCATGTCTGGCGCTGGGACAGGGCTTGGAGCAGCCATGGTGGCTGCGCCATCCCTAGGGCCCCTCCCAGCCTGACGCCCACCCCCATGTCTAGAGCGCCTGCTGAAGATGCCCCGGGACCACCTCCGGGAGTTCCTGCAGGTGACCCTGAAGCAGGCCTGGTCTCTGAGCGAGGACGCGGTCATCAGGCAGCTGCGGGCCTCCATGCGTGAGCTGGGGAAGCTCCAGTGCCTCCTGCCTCCCGAAGGTGAGTCCAGCACATGGTCCCGTCCCATGGTCCCTTGGGGGAGTCAGTAGTGGGAGTGCCAGGCCCTGACATCCCCGCCCAGGGCCTCACCTCTTCCTGGTCCTCCTTGTCCTCCGCGGGCTCAGCAGTTCTGCTTTCTGAAGCTCTGACAGCATGGCCTGGCGTGGCCTCGGGCAGCTTCCCAGAATCCTCCTGTGGGTGCCGGCTCTCCCCCCACGACTCTGGGGCCGGGCCGTGGAGCTGTCCTCAGGGCCTGTTTGTGGCTCTGGCTCCTCGGCTGACCCCCACTCTGGAGTGGATTGGAGGCCCCGCCTTGAGCTACCCTGCCCAGGTCTGGAGCAGGTGCCCTGGCTCAGTGCCCCCAGGAACCCAGAGCGCAGCTGGACCCCCACTCCAGCAAGATGAGAAGTGGCCCTGCCTGCCCAGGGGGCTCTCCCCGACTTACCCCACACAGCCTCCTGGCCCAATGACCACAGCTGTCTGCACACAGGACCCTCCTAGGACAGGGGTGGGCGGGGCTCCCACCTGCATGTGGGCAGGGCTAGAGGGAGGTGGGGCTGTGGGAGACCCTGTGCAGTGAGGGGGAAACAGGCCGGCAGAGAATCCCCTTCAGCCATCTGAGAACCCCTGGAAGGCCCAGGTGCCCTGAGCCCAGTTGTGGGGGCCGAGTGCACTCCTGTGAGCAGGGGTGGGCACAGAGGCAGGCGCTGGGGGCCCCTGTGGCAGAACTCAAGGGCAACTGAGTGTGGGCTCTGCAGCCCTAGCCTCGGGCCAACAGAAGGCAGCGGGACCCGGAGCATCGCTGGCCTCTGGGCTCTGGTGGGGAGGGGTCCCTGTGCTCGTCCCCTGCTGCTGCTGCCATCATGGACCTGAGCGCCTGGGTCCCCATGCAGAGCAGAGATGGGCTTGTCCCAGCTCTAGAGGCTCTAAGTGGGGGCCCAGGTGCAGGCTGTCCAGGCACTGGGGAGGCCCCACTGCGCCTCCAGATGCTGCCTCCCTGGGTGCTCCTGGGACAGTAGCGATGACAGCCCAGTCTCACCAGGAAAGAGACAGTGGGCCAGTGGCAGAGGACACAGGGCACCCCTGCCACCTCTTTAGAAGCGGCATTCCCTGTCCCTGAGGGCCTGCACCAGACTCCATGTCTGCCCCACAGCCCCAGCTCTCACCCCCATCATCTTAGGCTCAGTTCCTTTCCAGCCATGTAGGAGGGACTCAGATGTGGGTAACTCAGCGAATGCACTGTTAGGGCGCAGGAGGTCAGGTGGGGTAGGTGACGGGGTCCTGAGTTGGTGCCTGGGTCCCCAGAGATGAGAGTGAGGTGGGGAGTTCAGGGCCATCCACCCTGTGGGGACTGCAGGAGGAGCCGGTGGTGTCCCAGGGCTCCCCTTGCCCGGGTTGCACACACCCTCCCGTCTGGGGCCAGCAGCCTGGAAGAGTCCTCAGCGTCACACGTGGTGATGGGGACCCCAGGGTGAGGTCGGGGCAGGCACCCTGCAGGCCAGACGGGGGCTGTGGAGAAGCAAACCGCGTCTCTTCTTCTTCCAGCCAAGGCCATCGAACAGTGCAGCAGGCCCCTGGGGCAGGCACGCGTCTCCCAGATGCACGTTCCTGCCCCCACTGCTCCGAAGGCCAAAATCACCATTCAGGACACAGTGGCAGTGTGGGAGCAGACCAGGGGTCCCGCTACCCGTGCAGTGATGATCCATCCTCCAGAAAGCTTTGGCCTCCGCATCGCCGAGAGGGAAGGCATGGAGGAGGAGGAGAGCTGGGAAGGCAGCCCAGAGCCCCTCAGCCTGGGCTCCCCTGTGGGGACCGCAGAGTCTCCAGGTTCTGCCAGCCCCACGGAGTCTCCAAAGTGCTCGAGGTGGGGAGGCCTGTGCCAGTGCGCCAGTCTCCCTAACCTGAGCAGGCCAGAGCACAGGGAGGACAACTCCTCCGACGCTGGCAGCCGGGAGGGCCTGTGGATGTGGGCTCCTCCACAGGCCTCAGAGCCCCCAGAACCAGGGCCCATGCAGGCTGTCCCCGCCTGGGGGCCACGGCTGAAGACTCCCCCCTACTGGCATGGCAGCCCCACGCACTCTGGGGACAGTCATGGGCTGGAGCCGGCCAGAGCCAGCCCTGGGCTGGGAGACCAGGCCCGCGTGCCCTCCCTGGCCAGAGGCCTCCTTACCTCTTATTCTATGGGGCACCTGGATGATGGGTGCCTCCTAGAAGAGAGGCCGAGTCCACCATCTGTCCTGCCCAGGCTGGGCAGCAGCCTTCCGTGTGTCTTCACGGCATCCTATACACTTGGTTGAGCCCCCACCCCCAGGCTCTTCCTGGGGCCAGGACACCCTGACACTGGAAGACAACAGCCGTGCCAGGAGCCACTGTACTCTCCTCCCCGCCCCCTCCCCCACCGCCACCCTCAGGTGGTGCTGAGCCTGTATTAAATTGTTCCATGGAAAGGAGTTTGCTCCAGTTTGTGACCCCGGCGCCCAGCGGCAGCAAGCTTCCCCGTGTTCCTGGGGAGATGGGTGGTTCCACAGCCCCCAGCCCCAGGCAGAGACCCACTCAGGACCCTGCAGGCAATGCCTGAGATTCAGCTGTGCCCTGTGGGGCTGGGTCAGGGTGGGAGAGCAGCAGCTGTGAGTGCCCGTGACCTCTGGGACAGATCGGCACAATAGGAACAGCCGTGGTTGGAGGGCCTGTGTCACCTCTGTGCTCTCCCCTAGACCTGGGCGGCCGTGGCTGCAGCATCCCTGGCTTGACCCCACACGGCTCTCCCACATGGGAGAGGATGTGCACTCTGGGCTGGGAGGCGACCAGTGGCCAGCAGTGCATCTACTGCCCAACTGACCAGGTGTTGGTAGTGTAGGCAGGAGGCACATTTAATAGAATCGCAATGGATTCTCGGTGGAGGTGAGAGGGACTTGCTCTCGGCTGTGCCTATGTGTGTGAGCACCACGGGAGCAGAGCCCTTGGCCCTGGGACTCAGAGAGGTTCTCCAGGAAGGGCTGCCGCAGCGCGCTGGAGGGGCCTGGTCTGTGTGCTGAGCTCATGTGCTGTGGGCGGGAAGGGCCCTAGCACACAGGTCACCTTGCTCTCCCACAAGCACCACTGTCAGAGGTGATCTCTGTGGCCGTGTAGCCACAGCTCTCAGCCGGGCACGCGGGCCATGGCTCACCTGAAACACAGGGGCGGCTCCAGAGCCCTGTAAGGACTGGCGGTGAATTCGCAGACTCAGCATTTCCCAGCTCCTGCCTGGCTCCTGTCTCCCAGGACACACATGAGGCCCCGCGATGTCTCTAGAGGTTGACCTGAGGGACTCGAAGTCCTACCGGAACCCAGGTGCTGTGAGCAGTGCCACTGAGCTGGCCTCTGCCTGTACCCCCAGCCACCCCTAACAGAGGACTCAGTGCCTGGGGTTTAGGTGGCACAGGAAGCCAGAGCTGGTTTAGGGAGACCTCAACTAAAATCCGGATGGGGAACCCCTGATGCTTCGGGAAGAGGCTTTCTCAGAAACCCTTCAGGCTCATTGGAGGGCGTTTAGCTGAAGTTGGAGGGGAGTCCTGGCCACTCTGTGTGGCAATAGCAAAATACCTGAAGCCGCGTTGCTTAGAAAATGAAAGAAGTTCACTTTGCCTGTGGCTTGACCAGCCCGAGAGCAGTGGCACGGCACCAGCTTCTGGTGAGGGTCTCATGGCAGACAGCATCCCCCAGCAGGAGTCTGAGTGAGATGGGGCTGGAGGAGGACTGGGCCCTGTCCCTGATGACAACCCCAGGGCAGGCAACGTGGGGAAGACACCACTGGGACACGTGCATCCCCTCCTGGACCACCCGGGGTCCATCCCCTGCCTCGGCCCCTGAGTCCAGCTTCTTACACACGTGCACCCTGGGAGGCAGCGAGGATGCCTCAAGTAGTTGGGTTCCTGCCACCCACATGGGAGATTTGGGTTGAGATCCAGCTTCAGCCACGCCACTGCAGGCCTCTGGTGAGGGGAACAGTGGATGGAAGCAACCACCCCCCAAGATCCACGAATTAAACATTTGTAACGACATCTTGATAATAAGGAAATATTTGTAGCAACAACAATGGGAACTCACCCCTGTGCACCCTAAGCCACCCCAGGAGGCCAGCGTCAGTCCATGCAGGAGCTGGGTTGGGGCCCATGCACCCATGCTCCCTGCACACGGACTCTGGGGAACAAACCTCCCCCCCAGTGAAGGAAAGTGCAATGTGGAGAACACTAAGCCTAGGCATCTGGAGTTTGAACTCAGGCAGAGAAAGGAAAACGCATGGGCGTCCTCCACCCAATTAGGAACATCTGACTGCTGAAGCTGAGTGGTCCCCATTCAGCACTCGCTGTGTTATTTTACAGCACTTTGTGAGTCTCCAAAAGAGTTTATAATGCAATTTAAAGGGAGAAGCTGAGTGGGGGGGGGGGTAAAAGAATCAGTTAAAACCCAAGTGTTGCTGGACAGCATCTCTGGACATGACATAGCTGTGTGTTGAGGTGGATCTGTTCTGAGAGGAGGAGCGTGGTGGGGGACAGAGGCGTGGAGCCACCACACAGACGCCGGGAGTCAGGTGAAAGTGAGCCAGATAGAGCAGCCCACAGACTAATTTATTTCAGTTGGTACAGCAGCTTATATAGCCGAGACATCCAATCCAGTCATGGGGCAGTCTGTGCCCTAACCAATCACAGCCTGTGGCCAGGCAGTTTCCAAAACCATCCAATCACAGCCCATTGCCAGGCAGGCTCTGCTGCCATGTGGTTTCCCAGGTGGTTTTTGAAGTAACCTGAGTAACATGCTCGCTTGCCAGTGGCCATCTTGGCATGGCCTTCTCATTCCACCACATTTCCCCCTTTTCATTTATTTTTGAGCAATGGGAGGCATGATTCTTGGCCATACCATTGTTGACCCTGTGTCCATGTGGTCTCTGTATGCGGCTGTGCCTGTCTTAGGTTGTCCCCCAGGGGATCTTACCCGTCGTTGACTAAACAGCGCTCAACATGGGAGACCACTGGTGTGCTTGCTCAGATGGGGTAGGAATGAGGAAGAATGGTAACCAGGAATTGTGTGACCATACACAGGCTGTGGGCCGTTTGAGTGGCTGACCAGAGCTAGTGGGGTATGAAGCGTTAATGGATGTGGCTATGGGCAGTTTCCCAGGGTAGGATGATAGGGCAGGTGCGTCTGCTAACAAGGCTGACTCTCAGTCTTGTTCAGCTGGTTCTGGTTGGCTGTCAGTTGCAGGCTGGATGTTTCTGGCTGGTACCCAAATGGGCTGTGCCGCATTCTCTGGAAAGACACAAGCATATCCTCGACCTTTGGTTAGAGAGGGTGTGGCCCCTTCCATTCTCCTGTCAGGGGTATTTCCACCTAACCATAGGGGCCGGGGTCTGGGATGGAAAGGATCCCCAGTGTTTATAAGCTGGGCTGACCCCTTGGAATCAAAAGTAAGAAACTTGATAGTGAAAAGGACCTCAGTCAAAGCAAGCTGTGGGTCTGGGGGCATACAGTTGTTTTTCTGTCCTTGTAAGAGATCTTTAATCGTCCTATGAGTTCTTTCAATGATTGCCTGCCCCTGTGGCTTGTATGGGATACCTGTGGCAGACTGTATGTTCCAGGACCTCAGGAAGGAATTAAATTCCTGTGGTGTATACGCTGGCCCGTTATCAGTCTTTATTGTCCAGGGGACACCGAGGACCAGCAGGGCTGACTTAACCGCCTTTATCACATTTCTAGCCTTTTCTCCGGATTGGGCTGCTGCAAATACAGCCTTTGAATACGTATCTCCCACCACATGGACAAACATAAGTTGACCAAAGGAGTTCATGTGGGTGAATTCCACTTGCCAGAGCTTCTAAGGAGCAAGTCCTCGCGGGTTCACTCCTGCTTGTAGCAGTGGGCCTAACGGGGCGAGGGGGGCACAATTCTTGCAAGAGCGCACTAGGTGTTTGCATTGGTCATTGTTAGCTCCGGCAAAAGTGATTTTGTGTTGCTTTCTGCCATATGAAGTTTTTGGTGTAGAATAGGGGCGTGTTCTAGGTGTCTGATGGCAGCCATGTTGCAGGAGATAAGACGATCGACCTCTTTGTTGCCTTGGGAAACTCACATAACAAGCATCAAGTATGACCTGCAAACCAACGTAAGCACAGCAATGGAGTTTTCTTTCTGAAGTTGAGCCTTGAAGGATCAAAATTGAAAGTATGCATCAGGAACTGAACCTCACCTGTGTTTAGATGGGGCCTGCTGAGTGGGAGAAGTCCTCATGAACTCATTATGTCAGAGTTCTCACTTAGCCTGTGAGAAACTGTGTGTTTTTGTTTGTTTGTTTGTTTGTTTTTTTAAGATTCATTTATTTGCCGGCGTCGCGGCTCACTAGGCTAATCCTCCACCTTGCGGCACTGGCACACTGGGTTCTAGTCCCGGTCGGGGCGCCGGATTCTGTCCCAGTTGCCCCTCTTCCAGGCCAGCTCTCTGCTGTGGCCAGGGAGTGCAGTGGAGGATGGCCCAAGTGCTTGGGCCCTGCACCCCATGGGAGACCAGGAGAAGCACCTGGCTCCTGGCTTCGGATCAGCGTGGTGCGCCGGCCGCAGCGCGCCAGCCGCGGCGGCCATTGGAGGGTGAACCAACAGCAAAAGGAAGACCTTTCTCTCTGTCTCTCTCTCTCACTGTCCACTCTGCCTGTCAAAAAGAAAAAAAAAAGATTCATTTATTTGAAAATCAGAGTTACAGAATGGGAGAGACTGAGAGAAAGGCCAGGCCACATTCAGGAGCCAGGAGCTTCTTCTATGTCTCCCATGTGGGTGGCAGAAGCTCAAGTACCTGGTCCATCTTCTGTTGCTTTCCCAGGCCATTGGCAGGAAGGTGGATTGGAAATGGAGCAGCTGGGATTCAAACCAGTGCTGATATGGGATGCCAGCATTGCAGGCAGCGGCTTTGCCTACTAAGCCACAGCACGGTCCCTGAGAAAGTTTTGTTTTTTTAAAGATTTATTATTTGTTATTTATTTGAAAGGCAGCGTTAAAGGGGGGGCAGAGACAGAGAGAGAGGTCTTCCATCTGCTGGGTCACTCCCCAAATGGCAGCAACAGCCATATGGGATGCCGGCACTTCAGGCCAGGGCTTTAACCTGCTGTGCCACAGCGCCGGCCCCTGATAAAGTTTTCATTTACAAGCTGAATCTTGGCCAGCTGAAGCTCCGGCTGGGCGGGAGAAACGTGGAGTAAGCAGTGGCAGGAGCAGGTCAGAGGTACTAAGTGGCCTGTGACGATGATTGAGGCTGCAGGCATTTTTCCATGTGCTTGTTCTGTGTGTTTGGGTACGGACACTGACGATTCGCACTTCTCCCTTGCTGTTGTTTTCCACGCCCATTGTTGGGGTTGTCTTTACATACAGTTTTCAGGTTACGGAATGTTCAGCAGGACCATAATGAATTTTTTTTTTTTTTTTGACAGCAGAGTGGACAGTGAGAGAGAGAGACAGAGAGAAAGGTTTTCCTTTTGCTGTTGGTTCACCCTCCAGTGGCCGCCGCGGCCGGCGCACCGCACTGATCGGAAGCCGGAAACCAGGTGCTTCTCCTGGTCTCCCATGGGGTGCAGGGCCCAAGCACTTGGGCCATCCTCCACTGCCCTCCCGGGCCACAGCAGAGAGCTGGCCTGGAAGAGGGACGATCGGAACAGACTCCGGCGCCCCAACCGGGACTAGAACCCAGTGTGCCGGCTCCGCAGGCGGAGGATTAGCCTAGTGAGCCGCGGTGCCGGCCAACCATAATGATTTCGAGGACCGGCTGCTGAGTCTCATGGAGTCGGCGATTGTTGCTTCCTTATTTTGGGCGAAGCATGAGGACTCCTTTACCTGTGCGAAGCCTAGCTGAGTCATGTTGGCTGGGAACAGGATTATTTTTACTGTTTTCTAGTAGCTCAGATGTGTGTAGAAGAGCGTGTATGGGAGCTGAGTACCTAAGGCAGAGACCATGGTGCTGTTAACTTATTGCCTCTCAGCCGCGATTTCTTCTCCGCCCCGCAGTGAGACACAGAAGCTGCGCCTGCGTTTACTGGTTTTCTGCTGGTGCAATACCAAGCTCTGCCAGTAGAGGGTGTAGGAGACGCACTAAAGCAGAGCTGAAGAAGGGATTTTGGAATTTGTTCTTCCCACAGTGCACCTGCCGGCGCGTGGTGAGAGCTCTAGGAAGATTTTGATGTCAGCAGGTTTTGATGTCAACATTGAAGTGCCTTCCTGTTCAGCAGCCAGCCCGCAAGCTCCCAGAAAGCTGCTTTCTGTTCCCTAGGCGTGGCCCGTTGCACACAGCATAACCTGCACCGTGCACGGAGTCCCACATCCACCTACTCGGCTGGCGTCTGAACCCAGCACTGGAGGCCCCTTCTTCAGGCATTCTCCCCTTCAAGGGCGACTGGCAGCTTCCTACAATTGCTATTCCTGAGTCTTTAGATTCTGTTTTATCAGATCTACAGTTAATGATTGTTTGCTGCCTAATTATCCCACGTATTAAAAAGGTCCGATTCCAGGTCCAATAAAATTGGGTGTTGAAAACAGTTAATTAGAACTAGAAGGATGGGGCCTGGCACTGTGGCGCAGAGGGTTAAAGCCCTAGCCTGAAGCACCAGCATCCCATATGGGCACCAGTTCGAAATCTGTCTGCTCCACTTCTGATCCTGCTCTCTGCTATAGTCTGGGAAAGCAGTAGAAGATGGTCCAAGTCCTTGGGCCCCTGTACCCGTGTGGGAGACCTGGAAGAAGCACTTGGCTCCTGGCTTTGGATCGGTGCAGCGCCAGCTGTTGTGGTCATCTGGGAAGTGAACCAGCGGATGGAAGTCCTCTCTCTCTGTCTCTACCTCTCTCTTTCTCTGCCTCTCCTCTCTCTGTGTAACCCTGACTTTTGAATAAATAAATAAATAAATAAATCCTTTTAAAAAAAGGAATAGAAGGGAACTTTTTCAACCTAGCAGAGGACATTGGTGTAAAACCCATTGGATGCAACACTGAAGGACAGAGCTTGGCCCCGCAGTCAATAAGGGACAATGATGGCTGCTTTTGCCACCACTATTCGGTATCGTCCTGGATGTCCAGAGCAAATAGGCAAGAAATAGAAATGAAAGGTATCCAGTCAGGGAAGAAAAAGCAAAATTATACTTAGGAATGACAGGACGCTGTATCCTCAAAGCATCTGCAAAACCTAGTAAATTGGCCAGCGCCGCAGCTCACTAGGCTAATCCTCTGCCTGTGGCGCTGGCACCCCAGGGTTCTAGTCCCAGTCGGGGTGCCGGATTCTGTCCCGGTTGCTCCTCTTCCAGTCCAGCTCTCTGCTGTGGCCCGGGAATGCAATGGAGGATGGCCCAAGTGCTTGGGCCCTGCACCCCCATGGGAGACCAGGAGGAAGTACCTTCGGTACTTCGGATCGGTGCAGTGTGCCAGCCGCAGCACGCTGGCCGTAGCGGCCACTTGGGGGGTGAACCAATGGAAAAAGGAAGACCTTTCTCTCTGTCTCTCTCACTGTCTAACTCTGCCTGTCAAAAAAAAAAAAAAAAAAAAAAAAAAAAAAAACCCTAGTAAATTGAGCAAAGTTAAATAATCCAAGACCAACACACAAAAACTGTTGTTTTAAATACACAATAGCCATGAACACTACAAAAATGGTATTGAGAAGACAATTTCATTTATAACAACATAAAGAGGCCGGCACTGTGGCGTAGTGGGTAAGGCCACCACCGCCTGCAGTGCCAGCATCCCATATGGGCACCGGTTCAAGTCCCAGCTGCTCCACTTCCAATCCAGCTCTCTGCTGTGGCCTGGGAAAGCAGTAGAAGATGGCCCAGGTCCTTGGGTCCCTGCACCCACGTGGGAGTCCCGGAAGAAGCTCCTGGCTCCTGGCTCCTGGCTCCTGGCTCCTGGCTCCTGGCTCCTGGTTCCTGGCTCCTGGCTTCGGAACAGTGCAGCTACAGTCGTTGCAGCCAACTGGGGAGTGAACCAGGTGATTGAAGACCGCTCGCTCGCTCGCTCTCTCTCTTTCTCTCTCTCTGCTTCTCCTTCTCCCTCTGTGTAATTCTGACTTTCAAATAAATAAATAAATCTTAAAAAATAACAGCATTAAAAAAAGAACTTACACAGGAATAAATTTAATCACAACAGAGCAAGACTTGTACACTGAAAATGACAAGCTATCGAAGACCACAAAGCATTGCTGAGAGACATTATGCAAGACCTCAATAAATGAAAAGGTATCCTGTGTGCATAGACTTGACAACTTAGTGCTGGACACATAAAATCGTCTATGTTTATGGGATGCCAAGAGCTGTTTTGACACACGGGTACATGTGTCATGTCCAGTCAGGGCAAATACAACCTCCTCCACTGCTTTCCCAGGTTATTAACAGGGAGCACCTGGGACTCCAACCGACACCCACATTAGATGCCAGCACTGTAGCAGGCTTAGCCTTCTACACCACAGCGCCGGCCCCAAATAAATGCATCTTTAAAAAATAAAAAAGATGCCCCCTTCCACATTTCCTTCACCAGTGATGCGGTCTTCACAGAAAATGTCACTTGGTAAAAGTCTCTTCTTCCAGATAGATGTCGAACTCCTTAAAAGTACTTGAATATCTCTCAGAATATGGAGCAAGACATATTACCGGGATACAATGGTGTTGAAGGGTTGGGGCATGAGCACCGATTACACAGTAGGGCTGCTGCTTGTGCGAATTAGCAGGAGAACTCCACACCTGTCCACCTGCGGTACCCTGCAAGCTTCCCCATCTGAGCCTCTCTGCAGTTTTTTATTTTCTCTCGGCATCACCCTGACAGCCTCGAGCCTACAGAATTGACTTGAAAATTTCTATGAAGGAAAGTACTATGATCTTTATTAGCTCTTAAGATAATAAGTGCTCACGTGTGTGTGTGTCGGACCGACGTGGTTTAGTTTGTCTTTTGATTTTGTCGCTTTGGGAAGCACGTGGGTCTCAGAACTTCGGAGCGCGCTTGCCACCTGTGCCAGAGTCTGGAGCGCGCGCGCCCTCCAGCGCAGAGGCCCGGGAGAACTACATTACCCAGAATCCTTGCGCAGAGCCCCTGCGGCGCTAAGCCAATGGGGGCCCTTGCAGAGGGACGCTTGGGCACGTCCAGGCGGGACTTCCGGCGCCCCTGCGGCGGCGGTCCTTTTGGTGACTCTTGGGTCGGTCCACCTGGACAGGGTCTGAGCTCTTGGTCCGGCCCAAGGTAAAGGGAGCGGGAAGGCGTGAGCCGAGGCGTCGCTCACGGTGCATGGGGGCGGGTCTGTGGCTCGGGAGGGCGCTCTCTGGGGCGACTCCTCGCTCGGAGCAGGCTGGCGTCGGGGTTTGGCTGGGTCGCCTGCGCTTGCCCGCTGAGGCTGGTGCTGCGTCCCCTGGTGCTGACCTGTCCGATCTCGCCACCCCGCTGGAGCCCCGAGTGAAGGCGCCTGCTCGGGGCACTGCAGCCACAGCTCTCTGTTCGGGGCAGTCCAGGGGCGGTACGGGTAGGTCCCCTGTTTTTGACACGCGGAGTGATGAGAGATGTCCCTTACAGAGGGACCAGGGTGTGCAGAGCCTGCGGATGCGACTGGGAAGCGTTGGGACCCGTGAGCAGATGAGCTAATCTGAGGGCACTGGTGGCCCCGGACGGTTGTCATCAGAAAGACTGGATCCCAGGGACGATTTTAAAAGGTTCCCGAAGGTTACTAAGAAGCCGGCCGACTGGGGGTAGAAGGCAGGGGTGACTGATGAGGAGAGGAGAGACGGGCAGACAGGAGGCGCAGGGGGACAGGGAACATTGTTGCCGGACCGGAGTGGCGATGCAGTGGTGCGCAGATCTTTGAGAACAGAGAAGGTACCCCCCGCCTTGGAGTCACCACACCCCGGTTTAACTTAGGGAGAAATGGAACAACCACTCGCTTCCACATTAAGGGATCAACGTTCCTCTAAAAGTGTGCATGTAAACACTGAACTGTGGGAATTTAGCAAGTTAAATTTGTGCATGCAATGCAAATGTGCTTAACACCATAATATACTCCCAGAGCCGTACGTGAAAACACTAAACATCACAGTATTGCATCCTCATACTTTCAAAGACCCATCGCATGATTTACACTGAAAACATTGACAGAAGACTTGATTTTGTGGATAGTGATAGAGCCTACTTAGCGCTCGATGCGTAATTACTGATGCATTCGATACCCGTTCCAGCCCCAGGATGTGGGTGCCATTCTTAGGTCCATTCAGTGAAGATAGGCACCGGAAAGTTGAATCCTTGTCCTGGGTCACATAGCAGGTAAGAGGTCGCACCAAGGACTGAAACCCAAAACTTGGTCAGTTAGCCCAAGGTCACCTTGCAGGGCATGATCAGGCGATCCCTTGGGGCGCAGCATGGGTGCCTTTCGCTCACAGTCTCACTCTTCCCACAGGTTTCCATGGCTTCAGATGCGTTCACGAACCACGCACAGGTGAGTGGATAGTGTCCCCCTTCCATACCTCCCCATGACCCATATGGTCTCCTGGATTTATCCTGCTACTGCTTGTCTGCCACATTACTCAGTTTGGCCTGGGGTAATGTGTCATCAGACACCTGATCTGGCATCTAGGCCAGTTTCTGGCCACCTGTAGAATGTTCTGTGGCAGGTGTGTAGGCAGAGGGTCAGCATGTGCCAGTGCACAGTGGTGAGACAGAGCTGGCAGGCGGCTGTCACAGGCCTCTGTATGTCTTAGAGGACCTGCGAGCCAGGATGAGGGAGTCAGGCCTGGAGCAGGGGCCCAAGGACTAGGGCCATCCTCCACTGCCCTCCCGGGCCACAGCAGAGAGCTGGACTGGAAGAGGAGCAACTGGGACTAGAACCTGGTACCCATATGGGATGCGGGTGCTGCAGGCGGAGGATTAGCCAAGTGAGCCACGGCGCCGGCTCCTGGATTTGCTTTTAAAATATATCCAATCAGACTCTGTGATCGAGAGATGGATGGAATTTTGACCCTTGCAGCTAGCAGGAAGGAGATGCCATCAACTGAGAAGGGGAAGTCAGTTGTAGGCGTGAGTTTCAGAAGAATTATCAGGCGGTAGGTTGGGCTATGGTCCGTTTGTGATGTTCCAGAGACCCTGAGTGGAGTGAGTGAGTGGACAGCTGGACACACAGCTGGAGTTCAGGCAAGAGGTTCATGCTGAGGACAGCACAAGTTGGTGACCTGTGTGTGGCCTGGGGCAGAGCTGTGAGTCCCATTTAGGAGGCGAAATCTTCAGGTCATGGTGACCATGTTACTGGGCACCTGCCTAGGGTTGGTGAATGTCACAGAGAGGTAACGCCAGAGAGGTGGCTGTGGGGTTTGAGGTGGCTATGGCAGATGGCCAGAGCTTCCCAGGGGCGTGACCATGGGAGGACAGCAGTGATGGAGGTGACATGACAGCCCAAAGCCTGCACTTACTCCCCCTTGTCAAGGCTCACCAGTCCAATGGTGACCATTGGTGGGGCTGGAGAATTTACTTAGGCTTACAAATAAGCTCAGGGGCCAGTGGGAGAGTCGGTGATGGATGGGCGGCCAGGGGAGCTGGGCACTGAACGAGGCTTTGATGGGAAGAGGACAGCTGCGATAGGGGAGGCCGTGATGCGCGCAGCACAGCAGTAGAAGAGGGCTTAAGGTATTGCCACCTGCATGTGAGGTTGAAGCAGGGGCCAGGACGAGGTGGAGAGGTCTGGACAGCAGGGCCAGAGGCCTTCCCTGGCCCTGTGGGCTGTCAGATGTGGGACTCGGGATGGAATCACCCTTACATTTCCCAGTGTTTTCTGGGTTCTCCCCGGAGCTCAGGGAGATGCCCATGGTATACGCAGGGCATGGACAGTGGCAGTGAGAATCCAAATGTGCGTGATTGATGGTGCCCAGAGGGATGTGGCCAAGGGAGAGCGTGAACTGAGGCTCCCAGGGGCTGGGCCCTAGGAGGTGAGGGAGGACGCTGGGCCCGTGTTCGCTGGTACGGGAGGCATGAACTGGAAGGCATGCCCAGGGGAATTCGTCAGTCCCAGGGCTCAGCATTTACCTGCCCACATGTCTGCAGTTGATGTGGGGGACACAGCGAGGGGACTGTGGTGCTATCCGGCCTCCGCCTCCCGTGAGCCTTCCTGAGAGGAGGGTGGGAGGGACTGGGTTTAGGGAGCCAGGGATAGAGAGGGCCCTGGGAGAGGGGCTGCTTAGAGACACTGCTGTGCCCGTCATGGTAGGGCAGGGTGACCTTGGAGGATGTGGCTGTGGACTTCACCTGGGAGGAGTGGCAGCTCCTTGGCGAGCCTCAGAGACTCCTGTACCGGGATGTGATGCTGGACAACTTCACCCTGGTGGCCTCGCTGGGTAAGTCCCTCACCCTCGCAGCGTCCGGGCTGGGCTGGCCCCTCCTCCTCTCTCCAGGGCTCTCTCTTCCCTTCCCACAGCCGCCAGTGGACCTTGCCTCCTTCCTGGGTCTTCTTCCTAGGCTTCAGGCATTCCTCACCCTCTCCCACGGAGCCCCAGCGTCTGGTGCCCTCAGGCCTTCTAGGGAAGGATATGGGGGCCCGTGGCTTCCACTTGACGTGGCTTCACCTTGTCGGGGGACCGTCCGGGATTGCCGCCCCTCTCTGCCCTTTGCTGCACCCTCCTTCCTCCAGCTGACGCTGCCTCTTGCCCCATGTCAGGAATCACAGGCGTCAGCTGGAGAACCGGTTTTGGGGGCAGTGGGCCGATCCTAGAGGACGTTTCTCCAAGGTTCTTCTTGTAATACTGGTTGTCACTCCCGGTGGGCTGGGTGCTCTGGCTGTTGGTGTCCATCCACTTAGCTGCTTTGTCTTTCTCTTAGGATTTGCTTCTTCCCAGATCCGTGTAGTTGTCCGGCTGGAGGCGGGGGAAGGCACCTGGGCGCCTGGCAGGGCAGGCGTTGGGCCAGCTGCGGCACTAGGGACTTGGAGGGGACCTGGCCCTGGTAAGCGACAAGGCAGGGATAGTTCAGTGTCAGGGCTAGGTTCTCCTGGCACCCAGCACGTCTGCCAAGACAGGTCCATAACTCATTTCAGTCTCTCCTTTTCTTGGCATTTTCTCCACTTACCCCTCCTGTTTGATTTCTGACCAGAGCTAAGCACACCCCTCTTGCCTGAAAGTCTGCCCCGTTCCTGCCCACCTGTCGTGCTCTCCAACAAGGAGCTGCACATACCGCGCTGTGAGACGTGCTCCGGGCCTGCGTCGTGCTTCGGCAGCTTCTCGGATACGGTTGGTTTTCCCAGATCTGGGCACAGCCTTCCGTTCAGGGCTCCCAGGTCAGCCGCCGAGAAGCCCCTGCTGAAAGCCGTCGGCAGATCAGCGAGTCAGGCTCACAGCGCGCCCTTTGCTGTACTGTATTCTTGTTCCTCCCCAGAGCCCCCAGTGGTGCAGTGCTGCCGGGCTCGGTATGGAGCCTGCCTCAGCCCAGCTGCGGCCGCCTCATCCTCCCAGGAGCCCCGTGTGTTCGATCCTGGAGTTACAGAGCAGGCGTCTGGGATGGCCTGCCCTCTTTATCCCGCATCTGCGTGTACAGCAGTGTTTCTCTGCTTTCAGGCTGTTGGTTTCGGATGGAGAATGCCGAGGCGCCTTTGCAAGCAGTGCCGCGGATCAGGACTCCCGGGTCAGGTTCGGCCACGCAGAGTGCCGAGCCATGTGGGATGTGTGGCCCAGTCATGAAGGACGTTTTGCTCTTGGCCGAACACCAGGGGATTTGCTCTGGGCAGAAGCTTCAGGCATGCGGGGCGTGTGGAAGACAGTTCTGCTTCAGCCTAAGCATCGCTCAGCATCAGGACGGAGAGGGGCTCCCCAGCGGGGAGGAGGACGGGGCGTCACCGCTTACGGGCTGCAGAGGCCACCTGTCAGAGGAGCCCTTTCTGTGCGGGGACGATGGGGAGGACCTCCTGCCCCACCCAGGCCCTCTGCACAACCAGACCGCTGACCTCCGGGGGCGTCCGCCCAGAAGTGCAGGGTGCAGCGAGGTCGTTCCCACTGGCGACGGGCGATACCGGTGCCGTGAATGCGGGAAGGCCTTCAGCCAGCAGCACCGCCTCGGCCAGCACCAGAGGGTTCACGCTGGAGAGAAGCCTCATGCGTGCCGCGAATGTGGCAAAGCTTTCAGACGGAAATGCAGACTCGTTCAACACCAGAAAATCCACGCCAGAGACAGGAGTTACGAATGCACGCAATGTGGGAAGTCCTTTAGACAAAGCTATGGCCTTGTTCAACATCAGAGAGTTCACACGGGGGCAAAGCCTTATAATTGTGTAGAGTGTGGGAACTTCTTTGGCTGTAAAACCACCCTGGTTCGCCATCAGAGAATCCACACTGGAGAAAGGCCGTATAAGTGCACAGAATGTGGGAAATCCTTTAGACAACGGTCTGGCCTAATTGGACACCAGAGAATTCACACAGGGGCCAAACCTTACGAATGCAGCGAGTGTGGAAAATTCTTCAGCCGCAAAATCACGCTTGTTCGGCACCGGAGAATCCATACCGGAGAAAGGCCTTACAAGTGTACTGAATGTGGCAAGTTCTTTAGCCAAAGCTCTGGCCTGGTCTCACACCAGAGAGTTCACACCGGTGAGAAACCTTATGAATGCGCCGAATGTGGTAAATGGTTTAGCCACAGGTCTAGCCTCAATTTACACCAGAGAGTGCACACTGGGGAGAGGCCTTACGCGTGCAGTGAATGCGGGAAAGCCTTCAGTCTGAAATTTACACTTCTTCGACACCAGAGAACCCACGCTGAAGAAAGACCGTATGAGCGTAGTGAACGTAGGAAGTGCTTTAGCCACAAATCCAGCCTCATTCAACATCGGCAAAATCATGTCGGAGAGTGTTGAGCCAGTGGCCTTCCCTCGCTTGGTACCAGAGGGTTCGCCCTGAAGAAAGGCCGTGGAATACAAGAGTGTTATCTGCTTGGTCAATGCATGACGGCAGAAAAGCTCTGAGAATAGAGTTGTGAAGTGGCCGTCAGCCAAAGGCTACACCTCACACCTGTCGTGCAAGCCGCAGTGTGTGGGGAGGCTTCCGGAGGTGCGTTACCCTGTCTGACCTGCACGAGGCCCTTCCCTGAGTGCTCTCCCTGCCGGTGCCAATGGCAGAATCCATCTCCTATGTACCATCCGGTCGCCCAGTGAGCTGAGGGACGGCCAGTCTTTGTACTGTGTCCCCTGTAGGAAACCACAAGTGGCGTGAGGCCATCGCAGTTTACCCTGATCAGCTTAACACACTGATGGGGTTAATAGAATTGGAGCCAGCAAACCAGAAGGCATGTGCCTTATCCAGTGGTGCTTAGAGAAATATTCTGGTCACTATAGCTGTGAGGGATTCGGGTATTCAGGTATTCTCAGAACTTACAGATTTAACGTCTCCTGTGGCTCAGATCACTGGTAGGGCAAATAATCTGAATGTTTTCTGAATTGTCAAGACTATTTGGGTTGCTTACCTCAAGGTCATTGCTATACAGGCAAGAAAAAGAAACCAAGAAAAGCGCTGGTTGTCTAGGCATGTGACTTATTTAGCATCTATTGCTTGCTAGGCTTTGCTTCCATTGGTGTAGGGCTGTCCCTTCCAAAGGAAGAACATATTTTTTTAAAATATTTGTTTGTTTATTTGAAAGACTTACACAGAGAAAGGAGAAGCAGAGAGGCAGAAAGAGAGAGGTCCTCTATCCAATGGTTCACTCCCCAGTTGGCCGCAACGGCCAGAGCTGAGCCGATCTGGAGCCAGGATCCAGGAGCTTCTTCCAGGTCTCCCATGTGGGTGCAGGGGCCCAAGGACTTGGGCCATCTTCTACTGCTTTCCCAGGCCATAGCAGAGAGCTGGATTGGAAGTGGAGCAGCTGGGACTTGAACCAGCACCCATATGGGATGTCGGCACTTCAGGCCAGGGCACCTGCGCCACAGCACCAGACCCCCAAAGAAGAACATATTTAAGATGTGTTTGCCAATGAAGGATCCAGATTTCCGTGTTGAACTGTTAAAAAATTTGTTTTATTTATTTATTAGAGAAAGAGCCCCCATCTGTTTGTTCACTACCCAAATGTTTGCAGTGGCCCAGGGGCAAAGCTGGGAGCTGAGATCTCAACCACGTCTCCTAGGTAGGTGGCAGGAACACAACTATTTGAGCCATCAGTACGGCCTCCCAGGGTCTGCATTGGCAGGAAGCTGGAATTAGGAGCTGGAGCCAGGGAGTCACCCAGGTATTCAGATATGGGACATGCATCTTAACCACTAGGCAAAATGCCTGCCCTGAACCAGTTGTTTTTTTGTTTTTTTGTTTTTTTTTTAAAGATTTATTATTCGAAAGGCAGAGAGTTACAGAGAGGCAGAGAGAGAGAGAGAGAGAGAGAGAGAGATCTTCCATCTGCTGGTTCACTCCCCAAATTGCCACAATGGCCAAAGCTGGGCTGATCTGAAGCCAGGAGACTCTTCCGAGTCTCCCACATGGGTGCAAGGACCCAAGAACTTGGGCCATCTTCCACTGCTTTTTCCCAGGTCATAGCAGAGAGCTGAATTGGAAATGGAGCAGCCGGGACTCAAACTGGCACCCGTATGGGAAGCCAGCACTGCAGGCGGTAGCTTCACTCGCTACACCACAGTGCTGCCCCCCTTGAACCAGTTTTTGAAAGCTCTATGTAGATGCAGTTGATGTTCAGTGTGAAGAATGATTTTTATGTATCCATGCAACCTTCACCACGGTCATGATAATGAACATATTTCTCAACCACAAATTTGCCTCATCCTTTACAGAAATCCCCCTTTATCCAGCTGCTTTTTTTTTCTTCCTTTCCTTTTTCTCTCGCTGTATGTCTTTCTTTATTTAAAAAGATTTATTTATTTGAAAGAGTTACAGAGAGAGGGAGAGAGAGAGAGATCCTCCATCCAGTGGTTTATTCCCCAATTGGCTGCAACAGCTGGGCATGGCTGAATTCCATCTGGGTCTCCCACATGGGTGGCAGGAGCCCAAGCACTTGAGCCATCTTCCATTGCTTTCCCAATTGCATTAGCAGGAAGCTGGATTGAAAGTGGAGCAGCCAGGACTCAACCCAGTGCTCATGGGATGCTGGTGTTGCAGGCAGTGGCTTAACCTGTCATGATGTGGGACCCCCACAGTCTCTAAAGTTTTGCTGTGGTGAATCATAGTCAAAAAATACTAAATGAAAAATTTCAGAAATAATTCAAGTTTTAAATTACTTTTATTAGTTTTTTTTTTTTTAAAGAAAAAGGTTATTTATTTATTAGAGAGAGTGAGAATGAATGACATAGTTCTTCCATCCATTGATCGACTCACCAAATGGGCACAGTAACCAGATCTGGGCTAGGCTGAAGCCAGGAGCCTGGAACTCCATCCTTGTCTCCCACATGGGTGGCAGGCCCCAAGTGCTTGGGCCATCATCCACTGCCTTCCCAGAAGCATTAGCAGGGAGCTGAATTGGCAGTGGAGTAGTCGGGACTTGACCTGGTGCACCCTTTTGTTGTAAATGGTGGCTTAACCTGCTGCATCACAGTATTGGTCCCTGTGGTACATTGTGTGTCCCTATGGTACATTGTTAGAATTGTTTTATTAGCTATGTTGGTTAGTACATTGTTAGAATTGTTTTATTAGCTATGTTTGTTAATCTGCTATGCCTTATTTATAAGTCAAAGTTTGTCATATGTATGTATATGTAGGAAAGGCCAGTTTGCTTATATACATGGTTTGGTACTGTCGACATCCACTTGGTACATACGCCCTGTGGATGCAAGGGGACTACTGCAGACTTTTTAACTTTTCTAGAATTTTATGTGAATGGAATACCAAAATATTGTTCTAAAGAAGTTTTTATTTTTTTTACACAGTGTAATTATTTTGGGATTCCTCCATGTTCCATGTCTGATTACTTCATTGTTTTAGTCTAGACTAGTATACTCGTGTGGTTATCCCACAATTTGTTCTACATATCTGGTAAGGAACATGAGTTGCTCCCAGTTTGGGATTATTACAAATAAAGTGGCTGTGAACATTCACATACTTGTCTTGTGTGTTAATAGCTGGGAGACAAAGGCCTGAGTGTCTCATTTCTAACCATGGGATTTTAATTTCAGTTGTGACAAAGTGATGACATAGGCCAATGTTGAGGAAAAGAATTTATTACCTACAGTTCCTGAGAGAAGGGGGAACATCATGTCACACAGGGCTACAGAGAGCACCCGTGTTGGTCAGGAGGCAGAAGTGAGCAAGGGGAAGGCTTAGGCCACAGCTTCTGCGGGAATCCCACAGGAAAGACGTGGAAGGGCAGTTTGTAGCGAGCTGGTTTGAATAAGTTAGCTGGACTTTGGGCTGAGGATTGCTCTTGTTACCTGATAATTGCTCCTGGAATGCATTACAGCAGAGCGTGTGTTGGCTTAGTGTGAGAGTTAGAGAAGCAGTTGGGGCAGGAGATTTGGGATTACTGATTGCATAGAGTTGTGCTACTAGTCAAGCCCTTCGCTAGCTCGGAAGAAAGGATAATGTGGAAGGGGCAGTCTGGCCAGCTCGCTCAGCTGTCAGAGCATCAGAACTCAGACATAAACACACGGAGTCAGCTGGTATGTGGATGTTTGTCTCTTTAGAAACTGACAGACTGTTTTCCACAGTTTCCAGCGGTGTAACTAGAACTTTGGTTGCTTGCGCAGCTCACCAACATGATCTAATGAGTTTGCCATTCTCATTAGATAGTGGAATTTCTCTGTGATTTTATTTTATATATTTCCTAGTGACTAATTTGAGAATTTTTAGTTTTGCTACTGCCATCACTACATCTTTAAATATGTATCTTTTGTCCATTAAAATATTATTATTGAATTTTGAGAGATCTTACTAAATATTGGATACAAGTCCTTCATTAAATATGTGATTTGTCAATACTCTATCGTGTGACATTTTAAAAAATTTCTTGATAGAGTGTTTCCTATGGCAGAGGTGATTACTGTTGATGAAGTTGAATATGTGGATTTTCCTCCCTTTTAATTAAGCACTGTTTTTGTGTGTGTAGGAAGCATTTATCAAGCTAAAATTTTCCCTTTTGTTACATAATAGAAGTTTCATACTCCTAGGTTTATAATCCATTTTGAGTTAACTCTTTTATACTGTATGAGGTTTGAGGCTAGAGTTTTTTTTTTTTATTTTATTTTAAATGTGGACACTCAATTGCCCCCTGTTGCCAGTACTATTTACTGAGTTGCTGTTGCACCTTAGTTGAAATTCATTTAATCTTGTATATGTTGGTCTGTTTATAGATATTTTTCCTGTGTATTTTTGCTGATTATCTTAAAGTCTTACATATCGTAACTGTATAATGTATCTTCAAATCAAGTAATGTAGTATTTTAAATCTGTACCTTAGGAAGAATTTCTTGTCCTTATCATTTCCATATGGATTTTAGAACTCTTTTGTCATATTCCTCAAAAGCGTTGTGTGATTTGGATTGGGAGAGCATGGAATATATATGATGGGACTTCAGCAAATTTGTGAAAGAGTATAATTGAAAGATAAAAATGTAAGCCTTATTTCTCAACATGAGCTCCATCAAGGTCAAGATACTGTTGTAAGTGATGCTACAAGCCATTTAATCTATCCTCCCCGCAAAAAACAAACAAACAAACAAAAACAAAAACCGTCCTGGGAATCCAGTCATGTCCTGTAGTCTTGTTTTGTTTTACACTGTTAAGACAAGTGGGTGCCCTGTCAAGATATTTGAGGATTAGGAACCAAAAAGTCAAGAGGAACAAGATCAGGACTATAAAGTGACGCTTCATGATTTCCTGTCACAACTCTCAGCAAGGGTGGGTGCTGTGGTCAGTGGGCTAAGCTGCTGCTTGGGACACCTGTATCCCTTACCAGATTGTTGGTTTGAGTCCTGGCTACTCTGCTTCTAATCCAGCTTTATTTTTTTTTTAAAGATTTATTTATTTGAAAGGCAGAGTTACAGAGAGGCAGAGGGAGAGAGAGAGACAAGGAGAGAGAGAGAAAGAAAGTCTTCCATCCATTGGTTCACTCCCCAAATGGCCACAACTGGCTGGAGCTGTGCCAATCTGAAGCCAGGAGCCAGGAGCTTCTTCTGGGTCTCCCGCACAGGTGCAGGGTCCCAAGGACTTGGGCCATCTTCTACTGCTTTCCCAGGCCATAGCAGAGAGCTGGATCGGAAGTGGAGCAGCCAGGACTTGAACTGGCACCCATATGGCTTTACTTACTATGCCACAGTGCTGGCCCCCAGCTTTAATTCTGAAACATCCTGGCAGACAGCAGTTAATGGTCCTGAGTGCTTGGACTCCTGCCACACACAGGGGAGACCTGTATGGAGTTCTGGGCTCATGACTGGCTCAGCCGTGGCTGTTGCAGGCATTTGGGGAGTGAACCAGAATATGGAGTGAACCAGAATATGGAAGAAATTCTCTGTCTCTACTACTCTGCTTTTCAAGTAGATGAAAATAAACATTGAAAAACTCTCACCAGATTGCTCTTGGTTTATGAGAGGCATGAGTAGGAGCATTGTTGTGGGGGAGAAGGACTCTGGAGAAGTTTTCCCAGGCATTTTTCTGCCAAAGCTTTGACAGTCTCAGAATACATTCACGGTAAGCAGATGTTATTGGTCCTTGGCCTTCCAGAGCGCCAACAAGAAAAATGCTTTAATACCCCTCCCCCACCCCCAAACTGTTGCCTTGACAGTTTGTCTTGGCTGGTTCACTTTTGTTTTGACTGGATTAGTTCCAACTCTTAGTAGCTACTGCTTTGTGCTGTGTGTTCAGGATTATATTTGTAAAGCCATGATTCATCTCTCGTTATATAATTTGAAAAAACGCTTTAGATCTTGATCCCACTTGTATAAAATTTCCATTAAAAGCGCTGTTCTTGTCTGCAGCTTTGGCACCCATCAAGCAGAAAGTGTGCCCAACCTTTTCAGTCGGAATTGCGTAAGATGAGCCTGTAGAGGTATTTGGTGCTGGCAGTTTGTTTCTGCTGTTAGTCGTTGGTCCTCTTCAGTTAGGGCACGGAAGAGATGTTTCCTCCCAAATTGATGTAGACGGTCTGCCAACATTCTTGTCCTTTGCTGAGATGTGTAATCTGCTCTATCTCATTTCTTTGGGGCAGTCTACATACATTTTTCACTCTCCTACCCAGTCTTCACCATAGATTTGATGTCTATTCTTGTTTCAGTTTTAGCAGAATTCATGTTGCTCTGATGAGGCTGTTTTTATGCTGATGTCATCTTTCTTAATGCCTCAAAACCAGACCCTGTGTTGACATGTTATAACAAGTTAGCTGGAGTTTATTTTGGTGACAAGAAAATTGAAATCCATGCATAGTTTTTCATGTGTGCTTTTCATGAACTATTTGAAGACCACTTTATAAATCAATTTGAAGAGAATTAACACAGTAACAATGTGGAGTGTTCCAATCCATAAACATGGTATACCTCTCCTTTTATTAAATCTTTAGTTTTTCTGAACAATCTTCTATAGTTTTAGTTGTACATATCTTGCAATCTTATTTATCTTCATGTAAGAGATGTGTTGTAAGCTCTTGTAAAGAATACTATTTTAAAATTTTCAACTTGATAATACATGGAAAAACAGTTTAAAAAAATAGCCATCTTTATCCTGTGTACTTTATGGCTTATTTATGTAGTTTTCCTTGCAGATTCCATAGATTGACACTTTTGTTGCCTATAAATAAATACAGTATTTCTTTTTAAAAATGTTCACGTATGAAAATAAATACTTAACCAAAAAAAAAAAAAAAAGGATAACTTAAGACACAACTTAGTTTCACACGGAACACTGGAAAAATCTGTTTCACAAATGGGGCACTAATAGCAACCAAAGCAATGACTCGAGTAGGAGCGTAGGTTGGTAATTCTGGGAAACAGTGTCATCGTGCAATGAGGTCATAGGAGGGGACACACTGTGCGTCAGCCATTGCAGCTGATGTCATGCCTTCAAAGCTAGGGCTGCTACAGGGCTTACACGCCATAGCCCCCGGCCTATCAGTGGAGACGCATTGCCTAACGAATATCCCACCTGGTTTCTGACAAGAACATTCAGACACATGGTGTTTAATTGCAAACAGTAAATAATTTAAATTTAAAAAGAAAGCAGACAACCGACTCATGCAGCAACAGTAGTCTGACGTCCATCGCCCTTTGGACGCCGGGCTGGGTCGTGGGAGGGGGATTCTCCCCCGGGGTGAGGGCCCCTGCCTTGGGAGCGCTCACTGGAGTTCAGTGTTTCAAATCCTTCCGGGGCATGTACGGACCCTCGAAGGACCCTTACTAGCACCGTGGAGTTGACGCGCCCGCACGGACTTCCGGGAAACGGCCCTGGTGGGCGGGGCAAAGCTGGACAGGCTGCAGTGCATTCTGGGAACTGGAGTCCCGGAAGGTGGGCGCTAAATACGACCTCCTGACCCGGACAGCGTGGCTGCCGGGCTGTGAACGAGAGGAGTCAGGGACGCCTGCAACTACCCAAGTGAAAAATGTACTTGTGAGCGCACGGATGAGCCCGAAGACCTTGTCGCAGCCGCCCGACTTTCTGGGAAATGTAGTTTCGTGGTCGGAGCGCCACTGTCCTCACAGCAAGCCGACTGCGTGCTACGATCCCGGCTGAGCCGCTGGGCGCGTCGCCCCCGCAGAGGCTCCTGGGAGGTGTGGTTTTCCGGTGCGCGAATGGCCGCCGTGCCGGACGCGGAGGACTCTGGGAAACTCGCGCGGCCGTGGGCGCCGCTCCTGGCTAGCCCCGCGGTCGTCGGCGGCTCGGCGCCGGCTCCTGGGATCCGGTAGGACGCCGGGCGGTGTGGTTCCCGGGGCCGGCGTCCACTCACGAGTGAGACACGGAGGTGCCGGCGGGGTCCCTCCCGGGAGTCCCGCAGCTGCGGGTCACGGGAGGCCGGCGGCGGGCGGCATCGCGGGGGACCTCGGGCAGGACCGTCGCCTCTCCGGGGCTGCTGTGGGGCGCTCACCCCTCAGAGCCGCCGTGCGCGGGACGGGGCGAGAGAGCACGCACAGCACGCGCCCACGGCGGACGCCACAGACGGTAGATCTGATGTCGCCCACTCGTGACCCCCAACAGATGAGGGGTGCAGCCTTGTCGCCGTTTAAGATGGAAGTTGGGATTCCGTGGGGGGTGGTGTCTGACGTTGCAGCTGTGTCCTGCGCGTGTGCCCCTGGTGTGTGGAGGGTTGCTGTCCTCGCAGGGGGCGACCCACGACCTGTGCCAGGACACACCCGCGAGTTCCCGGGGAGGGGACTGGCGCCCCAGTGCTGGCACAGAGCTGCAAGATAAGCCCGACTTTTGATCACTGTTTTTTTGTGTTTTGTTTTGTTTTGTTTTGTTTTCCTTTATTCTGTCTTCTCAGAACACTGCCCATTCGTAAGATAAGAGCTTGGATTGCTTGCATTTTTGGAAATTGCAAAGTGATGTTTCAGGTGAGTCGGTATGCCCCCACACCGTGGGACACTTGCTTCCCCGGATCTTGGGTGTTTGCTTTGCCTCCTCGGCCAGTCCTCACTCCGTGGCGGCCATTGACGGACCGGATCTCCGGCTCCCTTGGTTGTAAGAGAGGGTGGCACCCGCCAGAGAGCGCCACGGTACTGTCCTAGTGCCCTAGCTTTCTACTGGAAGACTTGCTGTAGAGTCTTGTGCCCAAAGGAATTTCTTTTATTACAATTCAGAATGCAAACTTAGAGTTTGAGGTTATTTACAGTTGCCGAAGCTGTATCACGTGGTCAGTGGCTGATGGGGCAGGCTTTTCGGTTGCCCACAGGATGTCTGGAATTGTCCTTGATTCCTCCTTTTTACTTGGAAGGCCCGCTCAGGTACTGTCTTTGGAAATACTTAGGACCTGCCCACTGGTCTCCGTCACTGCCTTCACTGCTGCTGCCCTGGCCCCAGCTCCCTGCCTCGCTGCAGGAGCCTCCTGGGAGGCTCTCCTGCTCTGCCCGCGCCCGCTCTCTGCTCGGCACAGCTGGTACGGTGGTCCCGTGGATACGTGGAATGCTGTCGTTCCTCGGCTGAAACATTTCAGCGGCCTTTTCTCAGAATAGAAGTCAGAGTTTCTCAGTGATTATAAAACTTTGTATAATTAGGCTGTTGCCTCTCTAATCCCACCTTCCTTTTCTTTCTTTTTTAAAGATTTATTTATTTTGAAAGTCAGAGTTACACAGAGAGAAAAGGAGAGGCAGAGAGAGAGAGAGGTCTTCCATCCACAAGTTCACTCACCATTTGGCCACAAGAGCCAGAGCTGGGCCAATCCGAAGCCAGGAGCCAGGAGCTTCTTCCGGGTCTCCCACGCGGGTGCAGGGGCCCAAGGCCTTGGGCCATCTTCTACTGCTTTCCCAGGCCATAGCAGAGAGCTGGATCTGAAGTGGAGCAGCCGGGACTTGAACCGGGACCCATATGGTATGCCGGCACTGCAGGCAGTGGCTTCACCCGCTACGCCACAGTGCTGGCCCCTCACCTTCCTTTTCCGTTCCAGCCATGGCCTCCAGGTCTTGGAAGCTGCTGTGCCCGTACTATCTGCTTGGAATATTTTTCGCCCAGACATGCACAGACCTCACTATTCCCTTTGTGTCTTTGCTCAGTGGTTACTTTATAAGTTGTGCTTCGCAGAAGTGTATTTGAACTTGAAGTCACCCTCCCTCACCTGCTGCATGGTTGCGTTTCACAGCACCTGTCACTGACTGGCTAATAGGTTCAGGGTGTGCACGCGCTCATTGTTTGTCTCCTGCTGGGAGCTTGTTGATGGTTCTGTTTTCAGTGCCTGCAGGGATACTTGGCACAAAACAGATGTTGTGCGAGTAAAATTGGTGACCAAAACAGTGGAACAGAGTCATGGGGTGGCAGGTAAAACCTACACCGGAGCGGGCATGAGTCACGGACGTGCATGTTGGGCAGTCTGTTTTCTTGAGAAAATTAGATAATTAGAATGGAAAAAATCTTGTTTTAAAAAGTAAAAGCAAAATCATTTGTTGATTCACTTCCTAAATTCTTATGAAGTATCTGTTAGGAAAATCGAGTTTGGGTTGGGTGTATGCTGACATGCAGGACTTGATGGTCTTGTGCGAACTTTCTACGTCGGGAACAATGCTCCGTGTGTGTGCTATCCTGTGTAGTAGCCAGCAGCCCCACGTGACTTGGGCTGTGGCTGTTAGCAGCCGAGGAACTGAATATTAAATTTTATATACTTTGAAACATTTTAATGATTTAAGTTTTGTAGGTAGATTGAGGAGTGGCTGCTGCGTGGAGCAGTCAGAACTGGCAGAAAAGTAAGAGAGCGTAAGATCTGAAGGGAAGTGCTAGGACAGATTTCCCAAGTTCTTCTGGGAACAAAGATGAATGAACACCTGAGGAGACCACCTAAGGCTGCCCACGCTACGGAGGGGGATGCAGGTGGCTGCGTCCCCAGGGAATAGGCAGGAGCTGGGTTTGGTGGCCCACGGCACCAGGGAGGCAGAGGCAAGAGCACACTCACACGACCTGAGAAGACACCTTGAGTGTAGTGGGTAGGCCCACGAGGATCTCTTTTTATTTTTATTTTTTTGACAGGCAGGAGTGGACAGTGAGAGAGAGAGACAGAGAGAAAGGTCTTCCTTTGCCGTTGGTTCACCCTCCAATGGCCGCCGCGGCCGGCGTGCTGCAACCAGCGCACCGCGCCAATCCGATGGCAGGAGCCAGGTACTTATCCTGGTCTCCCATGGGGTGCAGGGCCCAAGCACTTGGGCCATCCTCCACTGCACTCCCGGGCCACAGCAGAGAGCTGGCCTGGAAGAGGGGCAACCGGGACAGAATCCGGCGCCCCGACCGGGACTAGAACCCGTTGTGCTGGCGCCGCAAGGCGGAGGATTAGCCTAGTGAGCCGTGGCGCCGGCCACAAGGATCTCTTAAGGATCTGCTCAAATTTCCTAAAGGGGTGGTTGGTTCTCAAATACGGGTGATTTTCTTCCCCTTTGGCTCCACTATAAGGGCCACTTGGTCATGTCGAGAGGCATTTCTGGGTTTTTTGGTTGCCATAACCAGGATGGCGGTGGGATGGGGGTAGAAACCAGGGATGCGGCTAATGCACAGGACAGCTCCTACCAGCCAGGAATTATGCAGCCCCGGATGTCAGAGGTGTCAAGGTAGAGGAACCCAGCTCTACACAGAGAGCAGAGGGTATCTCATGAGGGGGTGTGGATTTCCTTCTGCAAGCTGTTAATACAGTGACGTTAGTATATGTTCAGAACAGTGTGAAGTAGCTTTGCATTTGTGGAATGAAACTTTTATGCATTTGACATAGTGTTGAGTTTTTAATTTGGTTTATGAGATGACATTTATAGAAGCTAATCATTTAAAAACCATTGTGGAAAGTAGGAAAAGATATGATAAGGCTGGAACAACCCTAATACCTGGGAGAGTGTACATATGAGCCAAAAGTAAAAAGGAATTGTCTTCCCTACTAAAAGGTGGAGACACCCCTGTTTTCTCAGCGCATTTCTTTGAGAAGGACTAATGATAGAACTGCCCCTCTGAGGCATGTGCACATCTTTCTAAAAGCTGCATAGGTCTCTTGCCAGTTTTACTGGTTTGTCAAGCTGTTCTTAAGGCCCTTGGGACCAACGTTTTGAAACGCAAACATTGAGAAAGACAGTACTCCCCCCCCCCGTGTGTGTGTGTGTGTGTGAGAGAGAGAGAGAGAGAGAGAGAGAGAGAGTTTAACCTAGACTCCTGGTTCCCAAGTTGAAACCACCTGCTTAACATAAAGGGACTATAAATCTTATTTTTCCTTTGAGAAATAAAGGTGACTGACTAGCATGGTGGCCATTCCAGTTACAAGGAAGTGTAAGTAGCAGACTGTGCTGTGAAGCCTCTCACCTGAGGACAAGTTACCTGGACAACGTGCTCCGTCTGCTTGGCTCTGTGGACGGAGCTCGCGTCTGCTTGCCGACTCCTCAGTGGCTCGCCCCTGTGTTCGTGCTTGTTCAGGGGTGCGGCTGTTTACTTTCTGCTCTGCGTCTGTGGAGAGGGCTTTCTGCAGCGGCAGGGCATTTGATGTTTCAGTATTTCCCCAACTCCTGACAAACGCAAATCACCCCGTTTGAAGCCAAAGACCTGTGTCACTAGTCAATAGCAACATGTACCAAAATGGCAGTGGCAGAAGGGGCAGGCTTTTGCTGCGGGCTTTATTTATTTATTTATTTGGCAGGTAGAGTTATAGACAGAGAGAGAAACAGAGAGAAAGGTCTTCCTTCTGTTGGTTCACTCCCCAAATGGCCGCTACAGCTGGTGCTGCGCCGATCTGAAGCCAGGAGCCAGGTGCTTCTCCTGGTCTCCCGTGCAGGTGCAGGACCCAAGGACCTGGGCCATCCTCCACTGCCTTCCTGGACCACAAAAGAGAGCTGGACTGGAAGAGGAGCAACCGGGACTAGAACCCGGGGTGCTGGCGCCGCAGGCAGAGGATTAGCCAAGTGAGCCACGGCGCCGGCCCCTGCTGCGGGCTTTTGATCCCACTTGGGATGCCTGGATTCGGGTCCTGGCTCAGCCCTCCGTTCCAGCCTCCTGCTAATGTGCATCTTGGGAGGTAGCAGATGACGGCTCAGGTACTTGGGTTCCTGCCACCCACACGGGAGACTCGATGGAATTCCTGGCTCTGGCCTTCAGCCCTCTGAGACTTGTCTTACCCTGGTTGTACAGCAAGCCTGTGATTGTGCAGTTACTACGTAACTGAGACCAGATTCTAGATCACTGCCTGAACCTGGTCTACAGGGGACCGCGGGGCAGTACAGTGAGGCCTGGGCGGTGGCCGAGCTAAACGTCCTTGCTGTTTCAGGTGACATTCAGTGATGTGGCTGTAGACTTCTCTCCTGAAGAGTGGGGATGGCTCAGTTCTGCACAGAGAGACTTATACAGGGAGGTGACTGGTCCAGAATTACGAGAACCTCGTCTCTCTAGGTGAGGATATCTCTCCTTCCACTTCTCCTTCTCCAGGGGCCGTGGAGATGGTAAATGGCTGAATACCACGTTCCCAAGGAGCTGTTTAGCCCTTCTGTGCCGGGCCCTAAGCGTGTCGTCCCATCTTAGTGAACACGCCTCCCTTTGCTGCCTTTTGTGGTGACCTCTGACCCCTGTGGCTGCAGTTTGAGCGAGTTCTGTCTTCCTACACGCAGGCCTCTCCGTGGCTAAGCCATGTGTGGTCACTTTACTGGAGGATGGAAAAGAGCCCTGGATGGTGGAGAAAAACCTACCGAAAGGTACGTTTCCGACTAATGGTGTGAGTTAGGCGAAGGAAGTCTCTGTGAAAGATGCTGGCAGTGGGAGTGGATGCATTTTAGGAGAGCTGTCTTTAGGGATTCCAGAGGTAAATTTCAAAATGATCGTTCCTCTTTTCCAAACTGTTACCTGTATTGCTTATGTCATCTAATCAAAATGAGATTTTTGTCATCATAATTTTTTGCCATCATAATAATTAAAAATGCTCTTTATTTGAAACAAAGCAGCACAAGAAACAACAACTCAGAAAGCCTGAACCTTTGTGACCCATAGGTAGTACTTAGGTTATTCTGTTGTCATTGTAATGGTTTAATGTAGTAGTATAAACTGTGTATTTTAATCATTAATCTGGCAGCAAACAGATTAATTGAAGGTTGGAGAAGAAGACTATGAGATAAAATGTCATTGTTCACATAAATATAGTATAAAATGATGGCTTGGAACCCAGAATGACCTCCATATTTTCTTTCTGATAGTTTGCATTTTTTAAAAAGATTTATTTATTTTAAGATTTATTTAATTTATTTGAAAGACAGAGTTACAGAGAGAGGTAGAGATAGAGAGAGAGGTCTTCCATCTGCTGGTTCACTCCCCAGATGGCTGCAATGGCTGGAACTGCGCCGATCCGAAGCCAGGAGCCAGGAGCTTCTTCCAGGTCTCCCACGGGAGTGCAGGGGCCCAAGGACTTGGGCCATCTTCTACTGCTTTCCTAGGCCATAGCAGAGAGCTGGATTGGAAGAGGAGTAGCCGGGACTAGAACTGGTGTCCATATGGGATGCCAGCGCTTCAGGCCAGGGCTTTAACCCTCTGCTCCACAGTGCCAGCCCCTATTTATTTATTTGAAAGTCAGAGTTACACAGAGAGAGAGAAAAAGGTCTTCCATTCACTGATTCATTCCCCAGATGGCTGCAACGGCTGGAGCTGTGCCAATCTGAAGCCAGGAGCCAGGAGCTTCCTCCAGGTCTCCCATGCAGGTGCAAGGACCCAAGGACTTGGGCCATCTTCCACTGCTTTCCCAGGCCACAGCAGAGAGCTGGATAGGAAATGGAGCAGCCGGGATGCGAACCGGCGCCCATGTGGGATGCTGGCACTGTAGGCAGCATACTTACCCGCTATGCCACAGCACCAGCCCTGCTTGCGTTTTTATTTTAACTGATTGCCTGTATTTACCCATTTCCCTAATGACACTCTTTTTGCCTCTGTGAGCTGTCTATGTTCCCTGTGAGCTTTGCTCAGAAATAGCTGAAATGTGGGACTTGTCAGAATCATGTGTTTTCCAGGGGTTTTATTTCTCCTCTTTCCATCCTAGAAATTTCTTTTTAAGAAGTAGAGCGGCCGGCGCCGCGGCTCACTAGGCTAATCCTCCGCCTTGCGGCGCCGGCACACCGGGTTCTAGTCCCGGTTGGGGCACCGGATTCTGTCCCGGTTGCCCCTCTTCCAGGCCAGCTCTCTGCTGTGGCCCGGGAGTGCAGTGGAGGATGGCCCAAGTGCTTGGGCCCTGCACCCCATGGGAGACCAGGATAAGTGCCTGGCTCCTGCCATCGGATCAACACGATGCGCCGGCCGCAACGCGCTGGCTGCGGCGGCCATTGGAGGGTGAACCAACGGCAAAGGAAGACCTTTCTCTCTGTTTCTCTCTCTCACTGTCCACTCTGCCTGTCAAAAAAAAAAAAAAAAAAAAAAAAAAGTAGAGAAAAAGCACCACTTTACTTTCTTTATATATTTCAGATTGGGAACCAAGATGGGAAAGCAAGGAATTATCAACAAAAGGGGATTTTTATAATGAAGAGTCACCCCAAACAGAAATAGAAAGAACAGAAAAAACTGTAAAACCGAGTTGTGAATTTTCAAGTGCCAGTAAGGACCAGGAGTGCAGAGAGACAGAGGAGGGGAGGCCCAGGAGCCGGGAACACATTTCAGACCAGTGCCTCTCCCCTGTAGAGAGAGCCCCACCGGGGAAGCTTTTAACAAGTGCAATGCGTTTAGAAGCACCTTCCACTTAAAGCCCACCCGTTCTGAACAGCACAGACTTTCTCCTGAAGCAAAGTTCCGAGCCTGTGACACGCTGAAGACAAGCCCACCAAGAACGTCCGTTGTCAGGAATGAGGGCGCCAGTGGCGGGAGGAAGCTTCTGAACTCTAATGAAGCTGCAGCGGCCTTCAACCGGGGCACATCGCTTAGCCTTCGCCAGACTTTGTGTAATCGAGAGAAAGGCTATGCATGTAGAGAATGTGGGAAAGCCTTTGGCAAACGGTCAGTCCTGAATCGCCACTGGAGAATTCATACAGGGGAGAAACCCTATGAGTGTCACGAATGTGGGAAGACTTTTAGCCACGGCTCATCCCTTACTCGACATCAGATAAGCCACAGCGGAGAGAAACCTTACCGATGCGCTGAATGTGGGAAGGCCTTCAGTCACGTCTCATCGCTTACGAATCATCAGAGCACTCACACTGGAGAGAAGCCGTATGAATGTACGCGCTGCGGGAAGTCTTTCAGTCGTGTCTCACATCTCATTGAACACCTGAGGATTCACACGCAAGAAAAACTCTATGAGTGTCCAGTGTGTGGGAAGGCCTTCATTCATAGGTCATCTCTCATTCACCACCAAAAAATCCATACTGGAGAGAAACCGTATGAATGCAGCGACTGTGGGAAAGCCTTTTGCTGTAGCTCCCACCTTACTCGACATCAGAGGATTCATACCATCGAGAAGCATATGAATGCAACCAGTGTCTGCAGAGCTTCAGTAGCCTCCCAGCTTCTCATTCAGCATCAGAGTCTGCACACGGACGAAAGACCCTTTGAGTGTCAGAAATGCAGGAAGTCCTTCAGCCAGCCCGGATCACTGGATATGCATTTGAGAAATCACATCAGACTGACACCTTACGAATGCAGTGTTTGCGGGAAGGCCTTCAGTCACAGATCGTCCCTTCTTCAGCATCACAGAATCCACACTGGAGAGAAACCTTACGAATGTATTAAGTGCGGGAAGGCCTTCAGCTGTAGCTCCAACCTTACTGTGCATCAGAGAACTCACACTGGAGAGAAACCATATCAGTGTAGTGAATGCGGAAAAGCTTTCAGCAAAGGCTCCAATCTCACCGCCCATCAAAGAACCCATAACTGCGATAAAGCCAGTGAGTGTGGGAAAGTCGTCGGACCATTTGAATGACTATGCATGTGAGAGACCAGGTGCGAGTGAAAGCAGGAATCAAAGATAAACCTCAGCCGTAGATCCTAAGTCAGCAAAAGCCAAACTTCTGCCGGAGAGAAGCTCTATGAATGCAGAAAACTAGAAGTCGAAGTCCTCTAGTTTAAGCGCATTCCTCATTGTACATTAAAGAGCTCCCGCAGTGTGAGACATGTTGCCAGGTGTCCACTAAGCTATCTTGCTAGACATCAGATTAACGGTAAGGCAACCTGCAGGGTAAGGCATTATGTCTAAATCTTGTTTGGCAGCAGCACTGTAAACAGAATCCTACAGGAGAGCAAGCAAGTTTATTATAAATAAATATACATTTCTCAGAGCAGTAACATAGTTTTGCTCTATGCTCTATAGAAAAAAATTTTTTAAAGATTTATTTATTTATTTGCAAGTAAAAGTTACACAGAGAGAGAAGAGGCAGAGGAGAGAGAGAGGTCTTCTATCTGCTGGTTTGCTCCTCAAATGGCTGCAACAGCCGGAGCTGTGCTGATCCGAAGCCAGGAGCCAGGAGCTTCCTCCGGGTCTCCCACGTGGATGCAGGGCCCCAAGGACTTGGGCCATCTTCTACTGCTTTCTCAGGTCACAGCAGAGAGCTGGACCGGAAGTGGAGCAGCTGGGACTCCAACCGGTGCCCACATGGGATGCCGGCACTGCAGACAGCAGCTTTACCTGCTACGCCACAGTGCCGGGCCCTAGAAATTATTTTTGACTAATGGTTATGTGCAAATATCTAGCCATCTAGTGGTTCCAGTAAATTGTACACTGTTGAAAATTAAAGCTGTCAAAGAAGTAAAAATAGTATTAATAAAATTTTTGGTCTCTAATAAAAATTATTTTGTATATAATGAACTCTCTGTGACTTTTGAAAAAAGTGTTACTACTTCTTGAAGAATTTGTTTTAGCCATACTATAGCCTTTAGTGGGAGATTAGAGCAGTGTTGACTGTGGGTGTGGTTTTTAACTGAATCTTACTGGGTGAGTGCTAATTATGTGATGAGCACTAGATTAGCTTTTTGTTACTATAACGAAGTACCCATGGCAACACACTGTCCAGAGGATAAGGCTCATTCAGCTCAGTTCGGAGGCGCACATCCAGGATGGTGCAGCTGCACCGGCAGTGGTAGAGCGTGGGGGGGACAGATCACAGGCACGCCGGCAGTAGAGAAAGTGCTGACGCAGGGAGCCCTGGGGAGAACCACCTGCTGCAGGCGCGTCCCCAGAGACCTACGGGCCTCCCGCGAGGTCCACATCCTGAACACCATCCTGGGTTGTCGCTAACCTCTTGGTTCCATTAGTGTATGACTCTGGGTTTTCACGCCCAGCATGTGGTTTATTAATTTTTTTTGTAAAGATTTATTTATTTGAAAGGCAGAGTTGCAGAGGCAGAGAGAGAGATCGTCCCACCCGCTGGTTCACTCCTTAAATGGCCACAATGGCTGGAGCTGGGCCAATCCAAAGCCAGGAGCCTGAAGCTTGTTTCCAGGTCTTCCACGTGGGTGCAGGGGCCCAAGCACTTGGGCCATCTTCCACTGCTTTCCCAGGCCACAGCAGAGAGCTGGATCGGAAGTGGAGCAGCCGGGACTCGAACTGACACAAGGCACCTCGCCTGGTGGAGAGGTGGGGCTCTGCTCAGTGAGCCCAGACTCCCTGAGTCCTCAGCGTCACCTCTAGTACCGGGTCCCCTGGCGAGGTACAGCGGCTCTCGCTTTCCCTGGGGCACGCGCTGGGGCACGCGGCTTAAGCTGCTGCAAGCAACACCAGACTGCTGGTGTGAGTCTGTTGTTCCGCTTCCAAGTCGGCTCTCTGCTAATAGTCAAGTATTTGGGCCCTGCCACCCTTGTGGGAGACCTGGTTGGAATTCCTGGCTTCGGCCTGGCTTAACCTTGGCTCTTGGGGCCATTTAGGCGAGTGAACCAGCAGATGAAAGTACTCTCTCTTTCTGTCTCTCCCCGTCTGTTTGCTTGCCCTTCAAATAAATAAAAATAAATAATTCTTTAAAAAAAAAAAAAAGGTTACAACCATGACTTTGAAGGTCACTGGTGCTTGGAAAGTGTGTTCATTAGTGTTGGACCAGTCAGGTGCATTAGAGCCTGTTGCTGAAGATCTAGGAAGACCCAAGGCACTTATCACATAGCATTTTCTGGGAGCCTACCTTTGTGCTGGGCAGGCACTGCTTTAAATAGACTGCATTAGAGCATAAAGCCTTCCCTGTAAAAGGCATTGACAAAAGACACAATAACAAGGCCACGAGACTTGAGAGGTGCAGAAAGTAAGCAATGTGACGAGAAAGACGCACGTGGAAAAAATAAATACAGGATGGTTACCAGCCGCACCAGTGAGCCTCCCCAGTCTCCCTGTGGGCCTGTCACAAGGGCTACATATTAACGCAGCTCTGGATTCGAACTCAGCCTGCTGAGACTACACTCGCCCACTTCTCAATGTCTGCATTCTGGTTGTGAGAATTTGAAAAATAACCATAAAGGAAACATTAAGTTCTTTGGGCAGCCTTGAGATTTTAGGTAGGCACTTCAAGGACGGAAACTTAAAGGCTGAGGTTCCAGGCAGCTAAAAGCCTAAAAAAACCAACAAAAAGGAAAAAAACAACAACATTGTTGCTTTAGGTGCCTGTGAACCCGCCTCAGGAGGAGAGGTAAGAAAAGGACATTTAAACCTGTGTGCTGAACAAACGCCAGGCCCAGCAAACATACGCTCATTCTAGATTGTTTAACCCTTTCAAGCAAACCCAGGGGGCGGGCATCTGGCCTCGCGGGAAGGATGCCAGGCAGGGCACCTGCACCCCACACTGCAGTCGGTGCTTGTGTTTGATTCTGCGTCTGGCCCTTGAGGAACTCCTGATACTGCAGACCATGAGAGGCACCGATGATGGCGCCAGCGGTTGGGCTCCTGCCCCCCAGCTCCCAGCCTTGGCCTAGCCCAGCCCTGGCTGTTGGGAGATGAATCAGCAGCTGGGCGTGCACTCTTCTCTGTCTCTCAGACAACTAAAGATTTAAAAATAAACAAGCAAAAATGAACCCCCACATACACTGGGAGACAACAACAGGTATTCAGCTAAATTACATATAGCTATTGAATACTGTATGTAAGTATATACTAATTTATATAAATTAAATATATAAATTATAACAAAGTTCCATAATTTGGTTCAATTGTAAAGCCAAAACTTAAGTACTAAGTTATATTAGAATTTATAGAGTAAAAATAAAAAGAGCAATGATTGGCTTTTGTGCCTTTCAAGATGTTAAAATGTTAAAGACACCTGCTAAATGTAGCAAAAGGAAACTTTGCACTTAATCTATATTGGGGTTCAAAATTATAGTTACAGCCATGGATTCCATTAAGTTTAAACAGTATGCCTCCTATAATCTTACAAAGTGAGTACACAGAAAGTAGAGGAAAAATTAGACAAGTTTCATTTTAAACGTAGACTTGCAGGGCCGGCGCTGTGGTGCAGTGGATTAAAGCCCTGGCCTGAAGCGCCAGCATCCCATGTGGGCGCCAGTTCTAGTCCCAGCTGTTCCACTTCCGATCCAGCTCTCTGCTATGGCCTGGGAAAGCAGTAGAAGATGGCCCAACTGCTTGGGCCCCTGCACCCACGTGGGAGACCTGGAAGAAGCTCCTGGCTTCGGCTCAGTGCAGCTCTGGCCGTTGAGGCCATGTGGGGAGTGAACCAGCGGATGGAAGACCTCTCTGTCTCTACTTCTCTCTGTAACTCTTTCAAACAAATAAAATAAATCTTTTTTAAAAAAAAGTAGACTTGCCTAAATTTCTATAATCATAGCTGTGCCCACTACCGTAGGACATCCCTTGTTGGAGCACAGATCCTGGAACACAATAAATCAGAAGGTAAACTCTTCAACACTTAGAAGCAGACTTGATAAAATAAGACCTCATGGGCCCCTAATTAAAATAGTCAACATGGCCCAACACAGGTTACAACAGGGTCTTCAAAAGCTCATAGGAAACCAAACTAATAAAGGGGTGACTGTCCCCACCATTTCCCCATTTGACATCCTGACCTTGCCTGTTCTTAAATGTGGGGGTTGGGGGGAGAAGGTAGTGGGAGGCACCTCAGGTGCAGGATTACTACAACCTTAATGCTGTGTTCCTGTCAGTAGCTAATATTATCAAAATTACTGATGCTATTCAATCAACTGCTGGCGCATCGTTTGCTTGTGTACATTTGGCTAACATGTTCTGTTCATGCCTATTCCAGCAGTCTCTTGACCTCTTTTACCTTCACTTCCAAAGCCGACGTGTTCTGGGTGACCCGTGGGGAGCCTCAACAGTTCTGCCACACACGATCCTTGTGGACAAGGTTGTAGCTATGTACAGAGGCTCACATCTGGAGAAGCCATCACTGCAGGCAGCATCTCCCCAGCTTAAGATGTTGGCGGGGCCAGCGCTGTGGCACAGAGGGTTAACGCCCTGGCCTGCAGTGCAGCATCCCATATGGGTGCCGGTTCAAGACCCGGCTGCTCCTCTTCCGATCCAGCTCTCTGTTGTGGCCTGGGAAAGCAGTAGAAGATGGCCCAAGTCCTTGGGGCCCTGCATCCATGTGGGAGACCTGGAAACAAGCTTCAGGCTCCTGGCTTTGGATCAGCCCAGCTCTGGCCGTTGCGGCCAAATGGGGAGTGAACCAGCGGATGGAAGACCCCCCCCCCCGCGTCTCCTCTCTCTGTGTAACTCTGACTTTCAAATAAATAAATCTTAAAAAAAAAAGATTTTGGCATTGTAGATGAGTTCACCTCCTGTGCCAGGGACAACTTTACCCAAGACACCAAACTACCCAGTGATGCCCGTGGACACGAGGTAATTTTGCTTTCCTTTCCTTAGACACTAACGGTTCTGTTTCGGAGCTTTCTGTCTGCCTATTCCCATGTTCCTGTTCTATTCCTTGCTCTGTGTCAAAATGTACAGCCTACACGCCAATACCTAAAGAAAATCTAGTAGAGATTACTACCATCTCTGCCGTTCTGAAACGTGGTAGGAATGACCGCTTCCCTAGGAGACGTGTGCCTCTCAGTGAAGCCCTCGGCCCTGCAAAGAGAATTCTCCACTCCCTGGTGACTTCTCCAGTCACTCTTCCGGCTTGATTACACACGAATACCCCGCTTCTTACATACAGTTTACTGACCAACTGTTACAACCTCCAACAACCGCTGGGCCCATCATCTTCATAGGCACATCTTTCTAACACACTTCACAACTCCATTAAGGTATTGTTAGAGACCTAAAAGGTCTTGGGTCTATTTTTTTGTCTAATACCATATAAACAGAAAGCCCCCCAAGCCCCTTTTGCTTGAGTATATCACTTGTTTCCATTCTTTTGTTAAAGATTTATTTATTTGAAAGTCAGAGTTACACAGAGAGAGGAGAGGCAGAGAGAGAGAGAGAGAGAAGAGAGGTCTTCCATCCGATGGTTCACTCCCCAGTTGGCCGCAATGGCCAGAGCTGCGCTGATCCGAAGCCAGGAGCCAGGAGCTTCTTCCAGGTCTCCCACATAGATGCAGGGGCCCAAGGACTTGGGCCATCTTCTACTGCTTTCCCAGGCCACAGCAGAGAGCTGGATCGGAAGAGGAGCAGCTGGGACTAGAACCAGCGCCCATATGGGATGCCGGCGCTTCAGGCCAGGGCGTTAGCCCGCTGCACCACAGTGCCGGCCCCTTGTTTTCATAACCACTAACCAGGGATGGCTGCATGTTCTAATCAAGCCACGCTAACACCCCAACCTGCCACATGTGCCCAGGAGCCCCCCTGCTGGCCAGTCCCTGAGCGGGGCATGCACCTTCCTTACCTCATGTCCGCACAGGTGCACTGTGCTCCTTCACCTTGTACATTCTTCCTCTCTACCCGCTCCTATTTTCCCTAATGAAACCACACCCCAGGGTATGGCAGTTACACCAGGGACTGTCATATTTTCTCATCTGATGGGTACCTTCCTATTTCCATCAACCTGTGGCAAGATGGGCAACAGTCCTTTTAGAGGTCACAGCCACAGGACCCACCACTGTTAGCCCCAGTACAGCAGCCTTGGTCAAACAAAATCAAACCCTGTCTACCAACCAGCATGGTCTGGTGGCCCCCTCTGATCGTACTCAAAGGGTGAATGAAACATTGCACCTTGTGCAATAAGCTGCTCTTAACTATTCAGTAACCAGAGAAGGAGACCAAGCTATGAGAAACAGGCAAAGCAGTGAAGGCATTTAATAACACAGCTGAATATTCCGGCAGGTTTCCTTAAATCCAGAGGTAGCTGACCTGTGCTTTTGGTTTTCTCCCACAAAGTGGAGTGCCTGATATGAACCAAATGATAAAACTTCACCAAAGCTTCTTCCTAGGTGTCTTCATCAAAGTTTACCTTCGGTGGCTGCATCAAGCTGTCCCACAGTCTAGGAGGGAAGCACTGCCCACCCAACATGAGGACTGTTAATGACGAGATACCACAGCATCACTCTATTACACTGATTTTCCTGTCGCATCCGTGTCCCCAGCCAGGTGAGCCGATGCACCAGTGTGGCGAGCATGGCCCTGACGCAGGCTGCCTGCGCCTTTCACTTGTGTACTTCATCCTGACACCCAGTAAGGGCCCTCGCCGTGGGTCCTTGTTCTCTCGGCTCTCTGGGCCTGTTCCCTGGGTGCTTACCCTGGTGCTGTCCCTTCCCCCTCTGTGCGGCCTCCTTGTGCTGGAAAATGGCTGTCTCTCTAGGACTTGTGAGTGTAACACATGTTCTTCAAACCTCTTGTGTGGTGCCTGACTGGCCATCCTGTGAACAAACAATTTAAATAGTTTCAACAACAAAGGGATCATAAGAAATATGCAACCCAAAGCCAGAAAAAGGAGAAAAAGTTAATATAGAACAGGATAAAGAGAAAACCAATAGCAAAATGGCAAAGTGAAAAGCCCAAAACTATGGACAAACTGAATGTAAAGGTTGTAAATGCTGTAAATAAAAGACAGCTTTTTCAGAGCAGGTAAAAAGTAAGAAATAACGTGCCTACAAGGAAACCACTTTAAATATAAAGATACAAACAGTCAAAGCACAGAGACACACCATGGTAACCGTAATGCCACATAAAACTAACTTCAGAGCAAAGAAGATCACCTAAATATTTATACACCTAATAAAAAACACTTAAATATAAAGATAAGATGACAGGTAAGCTAGGAGGAATAGATAGACCTACACTCACAGCAGAGGGATCTTTAAAGCCCACTCTCTGTGTGGTTGATAAACAGGGGCAGGGAGGGTGCAGAGACAGCGCTCTCGACCGCCTACACCCACTCGGCACTCAGAGACGCTCCGCTCAGAGAGCACAGCCTGCGTGATGTTCCATGCACTTGGACTAATCACCAAAATATACATGTTCCGGTTAATAGAGCAAATCTCAGTAAAGAGTTTCAAGCTATACAAAGTATGTGCCCGGACCACAGTCAACGTAAGATAAATTCCACAGACCAAAGAAGACACTGAAAGGGAATCTCAAAATTATTAGTACTGATTGAAATCAAAATGTATGTCAAAATTTATGTTACTAAGTAAGCATTTAGAGAGAAATTTGTAGTGCTAAAAGCCTGCGTAGGAAAAGAAAAAGGCCTGGAATTAATGACCTAAGCTTAGGTTGAGAAATTTCTACCCCGAAAGTAGAACAACTACAGAATTTTTAGGAAACAGGAGAGAATACTTAGGTACTTGCTAAAATTATCCAGAGCAATCCAGGGCAACAGGGCAGTCAGAGGCGAACCCAGATTTTCACGGTGCTGTTGATCTGGCCCTGCTACTCCGCCCAGATTACAAAGCTACTCTGTGAATTGCCGCTCTGTCTGTGAAGCCACTTTCACCTTGAGCTGCTTCCTCCAACAAGCAAGCTCTTGCCAGCTTGTCTGTCCCGGGTTCCTGCCTGCCTCCGTGTCTGCGCGTCACCTGGTTTACTACCGGTTCACGTTCCCATGCTTTTTCAAGTTCAGCAGCTACCTTCCTACTCTTAAGAGAACACAGAGATCTAGGGAGGGGTGACATGGGCAAGGACACCCACCCAATCTTGTCATCAGTAAATGGCCTGAAATCCCAGCCCATCCCCAGGAAGCAGGCTGTTAGCTGGCAAACTGGACTGAAGGTATAGCCACACGAAGGAGAGTGAGATCTTCAAGATCTGATGCTTTTCCAATGAACAGAAAATGGAACATACTGACTACGCACATTTTTTGTGACTTCTCGATTTGTGAATTCATCTATTCACTAAAATGTATTTGTACCCCTCAAATTGATACTCAAAGAACTCTGGCGGTCATGTGCGGAGCGGCAGAAGTGTTGACTTGTCCACCGTTCATATTACTGGCTGCAGGCACACAATGGTGCTGTATTATTTCAAAGCTCACACTTTGAAGCATATTTTTCAGTCTGTTTGGTGCATTCTCTCTCTCTCTCTCTCTCTCTCTCTCTCTCTCTCTCTGTGTGTGTGTGTGTGTGTGTGTGTGATTTTGCTATTAAAAATTGCCACCAAGTGTAGTGCCGAGGTGGCGTCTAATGTTCCTACGTGCAGAAGTGCCCAGTGAAGAGAATGCATGTGTCAGAGAACTTCCTTCAGTTACGGGTTATGCCGCTGTTGGCGCTAAGTTCAATGCTTGTCAATCAACCCTACAGGGCCACCAGACAGGCGCAGCAGAATCACCCGTTTAGAATGAGGCTGGTTCAGAAAGTGCGAAAAGCAACATCTACGTGAGGCTGCGGGAAACATGGAAGAGGCCAACTTGTGAATTCGTATGATGATGACCAGTTTCACAAAGCATGCAAGACAGCATCTCTGAGGGTGAAAGTCAAAGGCACTTAGAGTTACGATATTCAGATCAGGAAAGTGGACCTCAGCTTGACCCACTGGTTCTACATGTCAAGTGGTAACACAGGACAAAGGATGTCAACGCTGCAGGCGAAGCACATTCTGCAGATCAGAAAGACGCACTTTGGAAAAGGGTTTGGTGGAAACAGGATTCAGTGTTGAGGAGCCTGGCCCGCTTTGTGAGGTCCTGGGCAAATGAACCTACTCAACCCACACGGCCTCCCAATCCCTGACTTTAAGTCATGCAGAGGTCACCCAGCCTTGCTGCTGTGTGGGAATACCAGATGACATTCAATGTGAACCTGACTTTGCAAAGGACCCCAGATCCACAGGAAACAGAGGGAAAACCCTGATCTGTATGCCAGTCCATGGTGAGTAGAACAGATATGCATGGTAACATCAGAAACATTCTAGGATTGGCCCCACAACCGCTTTATCCAAGCTGAATACCATCTCCATGGCAAAAACGCTGCCTTCACGTTCCTATTACTTCTGGATATCGCCTCATTGCCATGGAGAACTTGCAAATTCCCACTCCACCCTAAATGTTCTTTTCAAGCCCCAAACACTGTACCTGCCATCCAACCTCTTCATCAGAGTGTGTGCTTAAAGGCTTTCGTATACACAACGTGAAGGACTTTACAGCAAAGCTCGCGCGGCTCGCGACACCAGCAAGGGAAGCACCGGACTACTGACAGCCAGACTATCAGACATGGCTGCGCTGGCCAGCTTGGGATACTGTCAAGCAGGCTATTACTGATAACTGCTGAGAAAACGTTTGGCTGGACTTATGAAAAGTATTTGAAGGCTCTGAAAGGTAAGGAAAATATAAAGAAAAAAACCTCCCATAAAGCAATTGCTGTTAACACATTCCATACAGTACAGTGAGACAATAAAAATGATCCTACAGTGACAGATGAGTGGAAAAAGCTTCAATGATAAGAAACGAGGAGGGGGCCGGCGCTGCAGTGTAGTGGGTAAAGCTGTCGCCTGCAGTGCTGGCATCGCATATGGGAGTCGGTTCGATTCCGGCTGCTCCACTTCCTATCCAGCTCCCTGCTAATGCGCCTGGGAAAGCAGTGGAGGATGGCCCAAGTCCTTGGGCCCCTCCACCCACCTTGGGGCCCAGAAGAAGCTCCTGGCTGTGGATGTGCCCAGCTCTGGCTGTTACAGCCATTTGTGGAGTGAACCAGTGGGTGGAAGACCTCTCTCTCTCTTTCTCTCTCTCTGTAACTCTTTCAAATAAATAAAATAAATCTTTAAAGAGGGCCCAAGTCCTTGGGCCCCTGCACCTGTGTGGGAGATCTGGAAGAAGCTCCTGGCTTCGGATCAGCCCACCTCCGGCCACTGCAGCCATTTGGGGAGTGAACCAGAAGATGGAAGACCTCTCTCTCTGCCTGTGCCTAACTCCACCTTTCAAGTGAATAAATAAATCTTTTTAAAAAAAGAAATGTGGAGGAAAGTTTGGCAGAGAAAGTGCTGGGGGACATGAGGGAAGACCTAGATGGGATGGTAAAACAGAACACTGAAGTCAGCAGTGAGGAGAAGGCTGTGAAAG